GGGATGGGATGGGATGGGATGGGATGGGTGGGGATGGGATGGGATGGGATGGGATGGGATGGGATGGGATGGGATGGGATGGGATGGGGTGGGATGGGGTGGGATGGGATGGGATGGGATGGGATGGGATGGGATGGGATGGGATGGGATGGGATGGGATGGGATGGGGTGGGATGGGATGGGATGGGATGGGATGGGGTGGGATGGGATGGGATGGGGTGGGATGGGATGGGGATGGGATGGGATGGGATGGGATGGGATGGGATGGGATGGGATGGGGTGGGATGGGATGGGATGGGATGGGATGGGGTGGGATGGGATGGGGATGGGGATGGGGATGGGATGGGATGGGGATGGGATGGGATGGGAGGGGGATGGGATGGGGATGGGATGGGGATGGGATGGGATGGGATGGGATGGGATGGGATGGGATGGGATCATATAGGATGCTATGGTGATGGGATGGGGATGGGATGGGGATGGGATGGGATGGGGATGGGATGAGGATGGGATGAGGATGGGATGGGGATGGGATGGGGATGGGATGGGGATGGGGATGGGATTGGAGGGGGATGGGATGGGGATGGGATGGGATGGGGATGGGATGGGGATGGGGATGGGATGGGATCATATAGGATGCTATGGGGATGGGATGGGGATGGGGTGGGGATGGGGATGGGGATGGGGGTGGGATGGGATGGAGATGGGATGGGATGGGATGGAGATGGGATGGAGATGGGGATGGGGATGGGATGGGATCATACAGGATGCTATGGGGATGAGATGGGGATGAGATGAGGTTAGATGGGATGGGATGGAGGTGGGCTGGGGGCTGTCTGACCCCCTTTCCCCCTCTTGGCGTCCCCCTCCCCCAGATCTCCAGCAGGATGGGGCTCCTGCCTCATCTCTACCGCACCTTCCAGAAGGCCGAGTTCGCGGGGTTCTGCCTCAAGGTGGCAGACGGTACGGCAGCACATGGGCACGGGGCCGGGGGCTCCCTGCCTCTCACTGCGCATCCCTGCACGGCCGGGGCTCCTCGTGGTGGAGATCCACGCTTCTCCCTTGGTTCTTGGCGGGCGTCCGTTTCCTGCCCTGCTTCCGGGTGGGCATCCGCGGTTGTGCCGTGGTGCTCAGTGGAGCTCTGCTGTTGTCCCTTGGCTCCTGGTGGGGATCTGGTGGGGGGGATCTTGGTGAGGATCCACGGATGTCCTTTGGCTCATGGCTGTGATCCAGTTGTCCCTTGGTTTGTGCTGGGGATCCAGCATTGAGTGGGGATGTTGGTGGGGATCCACAGTTGTCCCTTGGCTCTTAGTGGAGCTCTGTTGTTGTCCTTTGGCTCTTGGTGGGGATCTGGTGGTGGGGATCTCGGGAGGATCCACGGATGTCCTTTGGCTCATGCTGGGATCCATTGATGTCCCTTGGCTCTCAGTGTGGATCCATCGATGTCCCTTGGTTCTCAGTGTGGATCCCTGGTTGTCCCTTGGCTCTCAGTGTGGATCCATCGATGTCCCTTGGCTCTCAGTGTGGATCCATTGATGTCCCTTGGCTCTCAGTGTGGATCCCTGGTTGTCCCTTGGCTCTCATTGGGGATCTATGGATCTCCTTGGCTCCTCACGGTGCAGATCCCCAGTTCTCCTTGGTTCTTGGTGCCCATCCATGCTGATCCCTTGGTTCTCTGTGGGATCCATCCTTTGGTTCTTGAAGGGGATCCATGGTCAGATCTCAGGTGGGATCCGCAGTTGTCCCTTGATTCGTGGTGAGGATCCAGCAGTGGGGATCTTGGTGGGGATCCCTGGTTGTCCCTTGGCTCTCAGTGTGGATCCATTGATGTCCCTTGGCTCTCAGAGTGGATCCCTGGTTGTCCCTTGTCTCTCAGAGTGGATCCCTGATTGTCCCTTGGCTCTCAGTGGGGATCCATGGATCTCCTTGGCTCCTCACGGTGCAGATCCCCAGTTCTCCCCGGTTCTTGGTGCCCATCCACGCTGATCCCTTGGTTCTCAGTGGGGATCCATCCTTTGGTTTTTGATGGGGATCCGTGGTCGTCCCATGGATCTCAGTGGGGATCCACAGTTGTCCCTTGGCTTTCAGTGGAGCTCGGCTTTTGTCCCTTGGCTCCTGGTGGGGATCTGGTGGTGGGGATCTTGGTGAGGATCCATGGATGTCCTTTGGCTCATGGCTGTGATCCAGTTGTCCCTTGGTTTGTGCTGGGGATCCAGCATTGAGTGGGGATGTTGGTGGGGATCCACAGTTGTCCCTTTGCTCTTAGTGGAGCTCTGTTGTTGTCCTTTGGCTCTTGGTGGGGATCTGGTGGTGGGGATCTCGGGAGGATCCACGGATGTCCTTTGGCTCATGCTGGGATCCATTGATGTCCCTTGGCTCTCAGTGTGGATCCATCGATGTCCCTTGGTTCTCAGTGTGGATCCCTGGCTGTCCCTTGGCTCTCAGTGTGGATCCATCGATGTCCCTTGGCTCTCAGTGTGGATCCATTGATGTCCCTTGGCTCTCAGTGTGGATCCCTGGTTGTCCCTTGGCTCTCAGTGGGGATCCATGGATCTCCTTGGCTCCTCACGGTGCAGATCCCCAGTTCTCCTTGGTTCTTGGTGCCCATCCACGCTGATCCCTTGGTTCTCAGTGGGGATCCATCCTTTGGTTTTTGATGGGGATCCGTGGTCGTCCCATGGATCTCAGTGGGGATCCACAGTTGTCCCTTGGCTTTCAGTGGAGCTCGGCTTTTGTCCCTTGGCTCCTGGTGGGGATCTGGTGGTGGGGATCTTGGTGAGGATCCATGGATGTCCTTTGGCTCATGGCTGTGATCCAGTTGTCCCTTGGTTTGTGGTGGGGATCCAGCATTGAGTGGGGATCTTGGTGGGGATCCACAGTTGTCCCTTGGCTCTTAGTGGAGCTCTGTTGTTGTCCTTTGGCTCCTGGCGGGGATCTGGTGGTGGGGATCTCGGGAGGATCCACGGATGTCCTTTGGCTCATGCTGGGATCCATTGATGTCCCTTGGTTCTCAGTGTGGATCCCTGGTTGTCCCTTGGTTCTCACTGTGGATCCCTGGTTGTCCCTTGTCTCTCAGTGTGGATCCATTGATGTCCCTTGGCTCTCAGTGTGGATCCATTGATGTCCCTTGGCTCTCAGAGTGGATCCCTGGTTGTCCCTTGTCTCTCAGTGTGGATCCATTGATGTCCCTTGGTTCTCAGTGTGGATCCATTGATGTCCCTTGTCTCTCAGTGTGGATCCATTGATGTCCCTTGTCTCTCAGTGTGGATCCATTGATGTCCCTTGTCTCTCAGTGTGGATCCATTGATGTCCCTTGGCTCTCAGTGTGGATCCATTGATGTCCCTTGGTTCTCAGTGTGGATCCATTGATGTCCCTTGTCTCTCAGTGTGGATCCATTGATGTCCCTTGGTTCTCAGTGTGGATCCATCGATGTCCCTTGGCTCTCAGTGTGGATCCATCGATGTCCCTTGGCTCTCAATGTGGATCCCTGGATCTCCTTGGCTCCTGGCTGTGCAGCTCCCCAGTTCCCCCCGGTTCCTGGTTCCCATCCACGCTGCTCCCGCGATTCTGGCTGGGCACCCATGGCTGCCCCTCATTCCTTCCCTCTGCCATCGCGGGGACCCTCGGTCTGTGATGGGGGTCCAGCCGTTGCTCAGGCCCCCCTCCCCCCCCCCAGGTGCCCAGGCCGGGGACGCGCTGTGCCGCCACCTCTTCCTGCAGGCCGGGGAGCTGCTGGCCCACCACGTGCTGGCTGTGCTGCCCCGCGTGGATGAGGTGAGTGGCAATGGGGGGGGGTGGGGGGGGGTGGGGGGGGCAGCCCCCATCCTGCCTTCAGTGCCGGCACCCAGATGGGGGGGGGAGGCTTCTGGCCCCATTTCCCCCCCCTCTCCTCCCCAACACTCAGAGCCTGTTCCGGGGGGAGCTGGGGCTCCCCATCGTCTGCGTGGGCTCCGTCTGGAAGAGCTGGGAGCTGATGAGAGAAGGTGAGCTGGAGGGGGGGGGGGGGGGAATTGGAGGGGGGGGGGAATTGGGGCTGCGTGGCTGGGGGGGCACCCGTAGCCCCCTCCCCATTTACGGCATCCCTCCTTCCGCTCCAGGCTTCGTGCAGGCGTTGGTTGGAGCCCGGGGGGGGGATTCCATGGGGGCTTTCTCCCACTTCAGCCTCCTGCGGCTGCGCCATTCCTCGGCCCTGGGGGGGGCCAGCCTGGGGGCCCGGCACGTGGGGCACAAATTGCCGCTGGATTACGGCAGCAACGCCGACGTCTTCTACACGCATCGCTTCTAGGGCTGGAGGGGGGGGAAAGGGGGGGGGGAGAAAGGGGGGGGGGGATGCTGCCCCCCCAGGGGTGGTTTGGGCTGAATTGTGTCTTGTTTGGGGCATAAATGTGGAATTTTGTACTGAGCGCTGTGCGATGGGGGGGAGAATGGGGGGGGGGTTGGTGGGAAGGGGGGAGGGGAGGAGTGGGGCTGGGGGGGTGGGGGGGTGGGGGGGGGGAGGAGGGGGGGATGAGGCTGAGGGGAACCAGAAGGGGGGGGAAAAGAGGAAGGAGGAGAGGAAAATAAAGGAAACGGGGGGGGGGGATGGAGAGGAGGGGAAATAATGGGGGAAAAGGGGAGGAAATAATGGGGGAAGGAGAGGAAATAATGGGGGAAAAGGAGAGGAAATAATAATGGGGAAAGGAGGGGAAATAGTGGGGGGAAGAGGGGAGGAAATAATGGGGGAGGGAGAGGAAATAATGGAGGAAGGAAAGGAAATAATGGAGGAGGAAGAGGAATAATGGGTAAAAGAGGAAATAATGGGGAAAGGAGAGGAAATAATGGGGGAGGGAAAGGAAATAATAATGGGGAAAGGGGAGGAAATAATGGGGGAAGGAGAGGAAATAATGGGGGAAAAGGAGAGGAAATAATAATGGGGAAAGGAGGGGAAATAGTGGGGGAAGAGGGGAGGAAATAATGGGGGAAGGAGAGGAAATAATGGAGGAAGGAAAGGAAATAATGGAGGAGGGAGAGGAAATAATAATGGGTAAAAGAGGAAATAATGGGGAAAGGAGAGGAAATAATGGGGGAGGGAAAGGAAATAATGGGGAAAAGAGAGGAAATAATGGAGGAAAGAAAGGAAATAATAATGGGGAAAGGGGAGGAAATAATGGGGGAAAGGAGAAGGAAATAATGGGAAAGGGGAGAGGAAATAATAATGGGGAAAGGGGAGGAAATAATGGGGGAAGGAGAGGAAATAATAATGGGGAAAGGAGGGGAAATAGTGGGGGGAAGAGGGGAGGAAATAATGGGGGAGGGAGAGGAAATAATGGGGGAGGGAAAGGAAATAATAATGGGGAAAGGGGAGGAAATAATGGGGGAAAAGGAGAGGAAATAATGGGGGAGGGAGAGGAAATAAAGGGGAAAGGGAGGAAATAAAGGGGAAAGGGGAGGAAATAATGGGGGAAGGAAAGGAAATAATAATGGGGAAAGGAGGGGAAATAATGGGGGAAAAGAGAGGAAATAATGGGGAAAAGAGAGGAAATAATGGAGAAGGGAGAGGAAATAATAATGGCTAAAGGAAAGGAAATAAGAATGAGGAAAGGAGAGGAAATAAAGGGGGGAAGAGGGGAGGAAATAATGGGGGAAAAGGGAGGAAATAATGGAGAAGGGAGAGGAAATAATGGAGGAAGGGAGGGAAATAATAATGGGGAAAGGGGAGGAAATTAATGGGGGAAAAGGAGAGGAAATAATAATGGGGAAAGGAAGGGAAATAGTGGGGGGAAGAGGGGAGGAAATAATGGGGGAGGGAGAGGAAATAATGGGGAAAGGGGAGGAAATAATGGGGGAAAAGGAGAGGAAATAATGGGGAAGGAGAGGAAATAATGGGGGAAAAGGAGAGGAAATAATGGGGAAAGGGGAGGAAATAATGGGGGAAAAGGAGAGGAAATAATGGGGAAGGAGAGGAAATAATGGGGGAAAAGGAGAGGAAATAATGGGGAAAGGGGAGGAAATAATGGGGGAAAAGGAGAGGAAATAATAATGGGGAAAGGAGGGGAAATAGTGGGGGGAAGAGGGGAGGAAATAATGGGGGAGGGAGAGGAAATAATGGAGGAAGGAAAGGAAATAATGGAGGAGGGAGAGGAAATAATAATGGGTAAAAGAGGAAATAATGGGGAAAGGAGAGGAAATAATGGGGGAGGGAAAGGAAATAATGGGGAAAAGAGAGGAAATAATGGAGGAAAGAAAGGAAATAATAATGGGGAAAGGGGAGGAAATAGTGGGGGGAAGAGAGGAAATAATAATGGGGAAAGGAAGGGAAATAGTGGGGGGAAGAGGGGAGGAAATAATGGGGGAGGGAGAGGAAATAATGGAGGAAAAGAGGAAATAATGGGGGAGGGAAAGGAAATAATAATGGGGAAAGGGGAGGAAATAATGGGGGAAAAGGAGAGGAAGTAATGGGGGAAAAGGGGAGGAAATAATAGAGGAAAAGGAGAGGAAATATTGGAGGAAAGAAAGGAAATAATAATGGGGAAAGGGGAGGAAATAATGGGGGAGGGAGAGGAAATAATGGGGGAAAAGGAGAGGAAATAATAGAGGAAAAGAGAGGAAATAATGGGGGAGGGAAAGGAAATAAGAATGGGGAAAGGGGAGGAAATAATGGGGGAAAGGAGAGGAAACAATAATGGGGAAAGGAGGGGAAATAGTGGGGGGAAGAGGGGAGGAAATAATGGAGGAAGGAGAGGAAATAATGGGGGAAAAGGAGAGGAAATAATGGGGGAGGGAAAGGAAATAATAATGGGGAAAGGGGAGAAAATAATGGGGGCAAGGAGAGGAAATAATAATGGGGAAAGGAGAGGAAATAATGGGGGAGGGAAAGGAAATAATAATGGGGAAAGGGGAGGAAATAATGGAGGAAAGAAAGGAAATAATAATGGGGAAAGGGAGGAAATAATGGGGGAAAAGGAGAGGAAATAATGGGGGAGGGAGAGGAAATAAAGGGGAAAGGGGAGGAAATAAAGGGGAAAGGGGAGGAAATAATGGGGGAAGGAAAGGAAATAATAATGAGGAAAGGAGGGGAAATAATGGGGAAAAGAGAGGAAATAATGGGGAAAAGAGAGGAAATAATGGAGAAGGGAGAGGAAATAATAATGGCTAAAGGAAAGGAAATAAGAATGAGGAAAGGAGAGGAAATAAAGGGGGGAAGAGGGGAGGAAATAATGGGGAAGAGGGGAGGAAATAGCAGGGGAAAGACAGGAAATAGCAGGGGAAGGAGAGGAAATCACAGGGGAAGGAGAGGAAAGCGGCGACGGCCGCAGGCTGCGCTTCCTCCCACGACAAAGAGGATTTGTTCAGCTCCTAAACGAGTTTAATGTTTGGGATTTGGGGGGGGGGGGGGGACCGGCAGAAGCCAGCAGCCCTGCGCCCACCCCCCCTCCCCTCTGGGAGCCCCCAGGGCCGCAGCCATGGGCCGGCAGGGAGCCCAGCACCGTTCCTGCAGCAGCCACCCCACAGCGCTGTGCGGAAGGGAAGCCCTGCATCCCCACGGGCTGGGGGGGGGGGGGGGGGGCTCCTTCCCGGCCCCACGGCACGCGGGTGCCCCCAGCCCCCCCCCCCTCCAGCCCCCTATGGGGAGGAGCGACGGCGCTGGGCAGGAATCCTTGAAGGCCGATTCCACAAAGCGCATCCCAGGCCGGGACAACCAGGGCCGCTCTGTCCCCACAACCCCCCCCAGCTTTGGACCCCCAACCCCTCCAGGGGGTCCCAGCACGGCCTCCATCCGTCAGCACCTATCTGAGAAGGGAGGAATTCGGGGCTGGGGGTCGCCGGGCCCTCGGCCTCAGCCTGGCCTCCAGGGGATCCAGGAGGAAGGGAAGGGCGAGGGGCCGGGGGATCCCCCCACATTCATCGAGGGGCTCCAGGATTGGAGCTGAGAGTCCTAGAAAGCGAGAGAGCTGCCCAAAACCGAGAGACGGCACAAGGGGAATGGAAAAGGACATGGAAGTCATGATCACAAAGGGAAGAACCCAACCGAGCCCCCAGCGCAGCCACTCCATTGCAGGCAAATCCCGCGGGCACAGCTCCGCTGCGGCTCTCAGTACTTCACGCCCGGCACAAACTCCTTGGCGTCGGGGTTCAGGGTGCTTTTGCTCTGCAAGAGAACGGGGTGGCCAGCGGTTGGCCAACGGGTCACCAATGGTTGGCCAACAGTTGATGAAAGGATTGGCCGACCAATGGTTGGCCAGCAGGTGATGATGGGCTGACCAATGGTTGGCCAACTGTTGATCAGTGGGTTGGCCAATGGTTGGCCAGAATTTGATGAATGAGTTGACCAATGGTTGGCCAGCAGTTGATGAAAGGATTGACCGACCAATGGTTGGCCAGCAGGTGATGATGGGCTGACCAATGGTTGGCCAACTGTTGATCAGTGGGTTGGCCAATGGCTGGCCAGCAGTTGATCAGTGGGTTGGCCAGTGATTGGCCAACAGTTGATGAAAGGGTTGACCAATGGTTGGCCAACAGTTGACCAACTCCTGCTCAGTGGGTTGGCCAATGGTTGACCAACAGTTGACCAACTATCAGTGGGTTGGCCAATGGTTGACCAACAGACCAATGGTCAATCAATGCGTTGGCCAACAGTTGACCAACTGCTGATCAGTGGTTGGCCAATGGCTGGCCAGCAGTTGATGAAAGGATTGACCGACCAATGGTTGGCCAGCAGTTGATGAATGGGCTGACCAATGGTTGGCCAACTGTTGATCAGTGGGTTGGCCAATGGTTGGCCAGAATTTGATGAATGAGTTGACCAATGGTTGGCCAGCAGTTGATGAATAAGTTGACCAATGGTTGGCCAACTGTTGATCAGTGGGTTGGCCAATGGTTGGCCAGCAGTTGATGAAAGGATTGACCGACCAATGGTTGGCCAGCAGGTGATGAAAGGATTGACCGACCAATGGTTGACCAGCAGTTGATGAATGGGCTGACCAATGGTTGGCCAACTGTTGATCAGTGGGTTGGCCAATGGTTGGCCAGCAGTTGATGAAAGAATTGACCGACCAATGGTTGGCCAGCAGTTGATGGAAGGATTGACCAACCAATGGTTGGCCAGCAGGTGATGAAAGGATTGATCGACCAATGGTTGACCAGCAGTTGATGAATGGGCTGACCAATGGTTGGCCAACTGTTGATCAGTGGGTTGGCCAATGGTTGGCCAGAATTTGATGAATGAGTTGACCAATGGTTGGCCAGCAGTTGATGAATGGGTTGACCAATGGTTGGCCAGCAGTTGATGAATGAGTTGACCAATGGTTGGCCAACTGTTGATCAGTGGGTTGGCCAATGGTTGGCCAGAATTTGATGAATGAGTTGACCAATGGTTGGCCAGCAGTTGATGAAAGGATTGACCGACCAATGGTTGGCCAGCAGTTGATGATGGGCTGACCAATGGTTGGCCAACTGTTGACCAACTCCTGCTCAGTGGGTTGGCCAATGGTTGGCCAGCAGTTGATGAATGGGCTGACCAATAGTTGGCCAACTGTTGATCAGTGGGTTGGCCAAATGGCCAATGGTTGGCCAACAGTTGATGAAAGGATTGACCGACCAATGGTTGGCCAGCAGTTGATGATGGGCTGACCAATGGTTGGCCAACTGTTGATCAGTAGGTTGGCCAATGGTTGACCAAATATCAGTGGGTTGGCCAATGGTTGGCCAACAGACCAATGGTCGATCAATGCGTTGGCCAACAGTTGACCAACTGCTGATCGGTGGTTGGCCAATGGTTGGCCAGCAGTTGATGAATGACCAATGGTTGATCAAGGAGTTGTCCAATGGTGACCAACTGCTGCTCAGTGGGTTGGCCAATGATTGACCAACAGTTGGTGGACGGGTTGGCCAATGGTTGACCAGCTGTGGATCAATGGGTTGGCCAGTAGCTGGCCAATGGTTGCTCAGTGGGTTGGCCAATGGTTGACCACGTGCTGATCAGTGGTTGGCCAATGGTTGCTCAATGGATTGGCCAATTGTTGACCACGTGCTGATCAGTGGTTGGCCAATGGTTGCTCAATGGATTGGCCAATCGTTGACCACGTGCTGATCAATGGTTGGCCAATGGTTGCTCAATGGATTGGCCAATAGTTGACTACGTGCTGATCAATGGTTGACCAACGGTTGCTCAATGGATTGGCCAATCGTTGACCACGTGCTGATCAATGGTTGGCCAATGGTTGACCGATTGATTGGCCAATAGTTGACTACATGCCGATCAATGGTTGGCCAATGGTTGCTCAATGGATTGGCCAATCGTTGACCACGTGTTGATCAATGGTTGGCCAACGGTTGCTCAATGGATTGGCCAATCGTTGACCACGTGCTGATCAATGGTTGGCCAATGGTTGCTCAATGGATTGGCCAATCGTTGACCACGTGCTGATCAATGGTTGGCCAACGGTTGACCGATGGATTGGCCAATCGTTGACCACATGCTGATCAATGGTTGACCAATGGTTGCTCAATGGATTGGCCAATCGTTGACCACGTGCTGATCAATGGTTGGCCAATGGTTGCTCAATGCATTGGCCAATCGTTGACCACGTGCTGATCAATGGTTGGCCAATGGTTGATCAATGGTTGGCCAATGGTTGACCGATGGATCAGCCAATCGTTGACCACGTGCCGATCAATGGTTGGCCAATGGTTGGCCAATGGTTGACCAATGGTTGCTCAATGGATTGGCCAATCGTTGACCATGTGCTGATCAATGGTTGGCCAATCGTTGACCAATGGTTGCTCAATGGATTGGCCAATAGTTGACCACGTGCTGATCAATGGTTGGCCAATGGTTGATCAGTGGTTGACCAATGGTTGCTCAATGGATTGGCCAATCGTTGACCACATGCTGATCAATGGTTGGCCAACGGTTGACCAATGGTTGCTCACTGGATTGGCCAATCGTTGGCCACATGCCGATCAATGGTTGGCCAACGGTTGCTCACTGGATTGGCCAATAGTTGACCACATGCCGATCAATGGTTGGCCAATGGTTGACCGATGGATTGGCCAATCGTTGACCACGTGCCGATCAGTGGTTGGCCAATGGTTGCTCAATGGATTGGCCAATCGTTGACCACGTGCTGATCAATGGTTGGCCAATGGTTGACCAATGGTTGCTCAATGGATTGGCCAATCGTTGACCACGTGCCGATCAATGGTTGGCCAATGGTTGCTCAATGGATTGGCCAATCGTTGACCACGTGCCGATCAATGGTTGGCCAACAGTTGCTCAATGGATTGGCCAATAGTTGACCACATGCTGATCAATGGTTGGCCAATCGTTGACCAATGGTTGCTCAGTGGATTGGCCAATCGTTGACCACGTGCTGATCAATGGATTGGCCAATAGTTGACCATGTGCTGATCAATGGTTGGCCAATGGTTGCTCAATGGTTGGCCAATCGTTGACCAATGGTTGCTCAATGGATTGGCCAATCGTTGACCACATGATGATCAATGGTTGGCCAACGGTTGACCAACTATCAGTAGGTCGGCCAACAGTTGACCAACTGCCCATCCTGCTCCTCGGGCAGCTCCTCCACCTCAAGCAAAACCCCAAAGGCCACCTCCCCCCCCCTTCTCCCCCCCCCCCAGCGCAGCCCCCTACCACGACATCCTCGGGGCCGCGGCCGTCGGCGACGCAGAGCCCATTGAGCTGCTGCTGCAGCTGCCCCACGCGCTGGGGGAGATCCCGGGCCGGGACGAACCACTGCTGGTCCTCCTCGTCCAACATCTCCTGGAAGCAGCGGTCCAGGAACTCCTGCTCCTGCAGCTCCTCCTCCACCTGCCCCCGAGGGAAGGCGCCGCTCAGTGCCTCCCCACCCTCGGCGTCAAACTCTTCCCTTCCGCCCCCCCCCCCCCAAATCTCTCTTCTTTACACCGTTTCCCCCGTCCTCTTCCCCGCGCTCTGCGTCTGCTCCCTTCCTCCTCGCAGCCCCTTTCGATACCGCAGGCCATCCATCCCGGCTCTCCATCGCCCCTCCGGTTGGAGAGGCCCGCGGGGAGGCCGGGGGGTTGGAAAACCTCCCTGCGAGGACGGGGGGAGGGAGCTGGGGCTCTGCAGCCTGGAGGAGAGGAGATCTCATAGTGACCTTCCAGGACCTGAAGGGGGCCTACAGGAAAGCTGTGACCTTTCCAACCCAACCATCCCATGGCTCTGGCATCTGTTAGGACCTTTCCAGCCTAACCCACATCTTCATGACCTGTTAGGACCTTTCCAACCCAACCCAACCCCCCATGGCTCTGTGACCTGCAAGGACCTTTCCAACCCAACCATCCCATGGCTCTGTGACCAGTTAGGACCTTTCCAACTCAACCCAACCCAACCCAACCATCCCATGGCTCTGTGATCTGTCAGGACCTTTCCAACCCAAACCAACCGTCCCATGACTTTGTGACCTGTTAGGACCTTTCTAACCCAACCCAACCATCCCATGTCTGTGATCTATTAAGACCCTTCTAACCCAATCACCCCATGTCCCTGATCTGTCAGGACCTTTCCAACCCAACCCAACCCAACCATCTCATGATTCTGATCTATTAGGACCTTTCCAACCCAATCACCCCATGGCTCTGTGACCTGTTAGGACCCTTCCAACCCAACCCAACCATCCCATGTCTGTAATCTGCAAGGACCTTTCCAACCCAACCACCCCATGGCTCTGTGACCTGTTAGGACCTTTCCAACCCAACCATCCCATGGCTCTGTGACCTGTTAGGACCTTTCCAACCCAACCCAACCCAACCATCCCATGGCTCTGTGACCTGTTAGGACCTTTCCAACCCAACCCAACCCCTCATGGCTCTGTGACCTGTTAGGACCTTTCCAACCCAACCCAACCATCCCATGGCTCTGTGACCTGTTAGGACCTTTCCAACCCAACCCATCCCAACCATCCCATGGCTCTGTGACCTGTTAGGACCTTTCTAACCCAGCCCAACCATCCCATGGCTCTGTGATCTGTTAGGACCTTTCCAACCCAACCCAACCATCCCATGTCTGTGATCTATTAAGACCCTTCTAACCCAATCACCCCATGTCCCTGATCTGTCAGGACCTTTCCAACCCAACCCAACCCAACCATCTCATGATTCTGATCTATTAGGACCTTTCCAACCCAATCACCCCATGTCTCTGATCTGTAAGGACCCTTCCAACCCAACCCAACCATCCCATGTCTGTAATCTGCAAGGACCTTTCCAACCCAACCACCCCACGGCTCTGTGACCTGTTAGGACCTTTCCAACCCAACCCAAACCAACCACCCCATGGCTCTGTGACCTGTTAGGACCTTTCCAACCCAACCATCCCATAGCTCTGTGATCTGTTAGGACCCTTCCAACCCAACCCAACCCAACCCAACCATCCCATGTCTGTGATCTATTAAGACCCTTCTAACCCAATCACCCCATGTCTCTGATCTGTAAGGACCTTTCCAACCCAACCCAACCATCCCATGGCTCTGTGACCTGTTAGGACCTTTCCAACCCAACCCATCCCAACCATCCCATGGCTCTGTGACCTGTTAGGACCTTTCTAACCCAGCCCAACCATCCCATGGCTCTGTGATCTGTTAGGACCTTTCCAACCCAACCCAACCCAACCATCCCATGACTCTGTGACCTGTTAGGACCTTTCCAACCCAACCCAACGATCCCATGTCTGTGATCTATTAAGACCCTTCTAACCCAATCACCCCATGTCTCTGATCTGTTAGGACCTTTCCAACCCAACCCAACCCAACCACCCCATGTTGTTATGATCTGTCAGGACCTTTCCAACCCAACCATCCCATGGCTCTGCGATATGTTAGGACCTTTCCAGCCTAACCCACATCATTCTGATCTGTAAGGACCTTTCCAACCCAACCCAACCCAACCACCCCATGTCTGTGATCTATTAAGACCCTTCTAACCCAATCACCCCATGTCTCTGATCTGTAAGGACCCTTCCAACCCAACCCAACCCAACCCCCCATGGCTCTGTGACCTGTTAGGACCTTTCCAATCCAACCCAACCCAACCATCCCATGGCTCTGATCTGTAAGGACCTTTCCAACCCAACCCAACCCCACCATCCCATGGCTCTGTGACCTGTTAGGACCTTTCCAGCCTAACCCACATCTTCATGACCTGTTAGGACCTTTCCAACCCAACCCAAGCCAACCACCCCATGGCTCTGTGACCTGTTAGGACCCTTCCAACCCAACCCAACCATCCCATGGCTCTGTGACCTGTTAGGACCTTTCCAACCCAACCCAACCCCCCATGGCTCTGTGACCTGCAAGGACCTTTCGAACCCAACCCCCCATGGCTCTGTGACCTGTTGGGACCTTTCCAACCCAACCCAACCATCCCATGTCTGTGACCTTTTAGGACCTTTCCAACCCAACCCCCCATGGCTCTGTGACCTGTTAGGACCTTTCCAACCCAACCCAACCCAACCCAACCGTCCCATGGCTCTGTGACCTGTTAGGACCCTTCCAACCCAACCCAACCATCCCATGGCTCTGTGACCTGTTAGGACCTTTCCAACCCAACCCAACCATCCCATGGCTCTGTGACCTGTTAGGACCCTTCCAACCCAACCCAACCCAACCATCCCATGGCTCTGTGACCTGTTAGGACCTTTCCAGCCTAACCCACATCCTCATGACCTGTTAGGACCTTTCCAACCCAACCCAACCATCCCATGTCTGTGATCTATTAAGACCCTTCTAACCCAATCGCCACATATCTCTGATCTGTAAGGACCCTTCCAACCCAACCCAACCCCCCATGGCTCTGTGACCTGTTAGGACCTTTCCAACCCAACCCAACCCAACCATCCCATGGCTCTGATCTGTAAGGACCTTTCCAACCCAACCCAACCCCACCATCCCATGGCTCTGTGACCTGTTAGGACCTTTCCAGCCTAACCCACATCTTCATGACCTGTTAGGACCTTTCCAACCCAACCCAACCCAACCCCCCATGGCTCTGTGACCTGTTAGGACCTTTCCAACCCAACCCAACCCCCCATGTCTCTGATCTGTAAGGACCTTTCCAACCCAACCCAACCGTCCCATGGCTCTGTGACCTGTTAGGACCCTTCCAACCCCACCATCCCATGGCTCTGTGACCTGTTAGGACCTTTCCAACCCAACTCAACCCAATCCAACCATCCCAGTTAGGACCTTTCCAACCCAACCCAACCCAACCACCCCATGTTGTTATGATCTGTCAGGACCTTTCCAACCCAACCATCCCATGGCTCTGCGTTATGTTAGGACCTTTCCAGCCTAACCCACATCTTTGTGATCTGTTAGGACCTTTCCAACCCAACTCAACCCAACCCCCCATGGCTCTGTGACCTGTTAGGACCTTTCCAACCCAACCCAACCCCCCATGGCTCTGTGACCTGTTAGGACCCTTCCAACCCAACCCAACCATCCCATGGCTCTGTGACCTGTTAGGACCTTTCCAACCCAACTCAACCCAATCCAACCATCCCAGTTAGGACCTTTCCAACCCAACCCAACCCAACCACCCCATGTTGTTATGATCTGTCAGGACCTTTCCAACCCAACCCAACCCAACCATCCCATGGCTCTGTGACCTGTTAGGACCTTTCCAACCCAACCCAACCACCAACGCTGCTAGGATCAGTTGGGAGCTTTGCAGCTGACCCCAACCCCCCCACGCGATCTGCAAGGACCCGCAGGGTGCCGTAAGGAGCCGCAGGACCCACACGGCCCCGCGAGGCCCACCTGCCTGTCGAAGTCCTCCTCGTTCTCCATCCACATGAACTCAGCAAACGGGTTGCTCTCCTTTTTCTCTCGCCCTTCACCCCCCTTCCCTTCGCCGCCCTGGGCGCCGCCGGCCTCGGGGCCGTTCATGGCTGCTGCCGCTGCGGGGTGGGCCGAGCTCAGGGGGGGGGAGCAGCACCTCGACCTCCCCCCCCCCCCCACAGAACAGCTGGGGGGTGAGCAGAGGGGTGAGGGGATGGAGTGGGGGGGAGGGTCCTTGGGTGGGGGGTCCTTAGACTGGGGGTCCCTGGACTGGGGAGGTGGGGAGGGGTCCTTGCATTGGGGGTCCTTGCACTGGGGACGGGGGGGGTCCCTGGATTGGGGAGGTGAGGGGGGACCTCAGATTGAGGGTCCCTGGATTGGGGGGAGAGGAGCCTGGGCTGGGGGTTCTTGGATGGGGGGTCCTTAGACTGGGGGTCCCTGGACTGGGGAGGGGGGGAGGGGTCCTTGCGTTGGGGGGGGATCCCTGGATTGGGGTTGGGGTCTCTGGGCTGGGGGTCTCTGGATTGGATTGGGGGGGGGGGATCATTAGACTGGGGGTCCCTGGACTGGGGAGGTGGGGTGGGGTCCTTGCATTGGGGGGGGGAGGAGGTCCCTGGATTTGGGGGGGGGTGGTGTTTGGATGGGGGGTCGTTAGAATGGGGGTCCCTGGAGTGGGAGGAGGGGGGGAGGCCTTGGATTGGGGCTGGGGGTCTCTGGGTGGGGGGTTCTTGGACTGGGGGGGAATCATTGGACTGGGGGTCCCTGGATTGGGGGGTGGGGGTGATCGTTGGATTGGGGTCTTTGCACTTGGGGGGGGGGTCCCTGGATTGGGGCTGGGGGTCCCTGGGTGGGGGGGGAGTCATTGGATTGGGGTCCCTGTATTGGGGCTGGGGCTCTTTGGGAGGGGGGGGTCTCTGGGTTGGAGAGGTGAGGGGGGACCTTGGATTGGGGGTCCCTGGATTGGGGGCGGGGAGGACCCTGGGTTGGGGGTCCTTGGATGGGGGGGTCCTTAGACTGGGGGTCCCTGGACTGGGAGGAGGGGGGGAGGCCTTGGATTGGGGGTCCTTGGATTGGGGCTGGGGTCACCGGGTGGGGGGGTCCCTGGATTGGGGGTCCTTGGATTGCGGGTGGGGACCCTGGGCTGGAGGTCCCCGAATTGGGGGAGGGTCTTGGATGGGGGGTCCCTGGATTGGAGTTGGGGTCCCTGGGCTGGGGGTCTCTGGATTGGATTGGGGGGGGGATCATTAGACTGGGGGTTCCTGGACTGGGGAGGTGGGGAGGGGTCCTTGCATTGGGGGGGGGACGAGGTCCCTGGATTTGGGGGGAGGGGGTGGGGGGGTCTTTGGATGAGGGGTCGTTAGAATGGGGGTCCCTGGGCTGGGGGTTCTTGAACCAGGGGGGGAATCATTGGACCGGGGGTCCCCAGATTGGGGGTGTGGGGGGGGGGTCGTTGGATTGGGGGTCCCTGGAGTGGGAGGAGGGGGGGAGGCCTTGGATTGGGGCTGGGGGTCTCTGGGTGGGGGGGTCTTGGACTGGGGGGGATCATTGGACCAGGGGTCCCTGGATTGGGGGGGTGAAGGGGGACCTCGGATTGGGGGGGGGAGGACCCTGGGCTGGGGGTCCTTGGGTGGGGGGTCCTTAGACTGGGGGTCCCTGGACTGGGGAGGTGGGGAGGGGTCCTTGCGTTGGGGGGGGGTCCCTGGATTGGGGATGGGGTCCATGGGTTTGGGGGGGAGGGTCCTTGGATGGGGGGTCCTCAGATTGGGGGTCCATGGACAGTGGGGAGGGGGGCAGGCCTTGGATTGGGGCTGGGGGTCTCTGGGTGGGGGATTCTTGGACTGGGGGGGGATCATTGGACTGGGGGTCCCTGGATTGGGGGGTGGGATGGGGTCGTTGGATTGGGGGTCCTTGCACTTGGGGGGGGTCCCTGGATTGGGGCTGGGGGTCCCTGGGTGGGGGGGGAGTCATTGGATTGGGGTCCCTGTATTGGGGCTGGGGCTCTTTGGGAGGGGGGGGGTCTCTGGGTTGGAGAGGTGAGGGGGGACCTTGGATTGGGGGTCCCTGGACTGGGAGGAGGGGGGGAGGCCTTGGATTGGGGGTCCTTGGATTGAAGCTGGGGTCACCGGGTGGGGGGGGTTCGTGGATTGGGGGGGCTGGGGGGATCCTTGGGTTGGGGGTCCTTGCACTGGAGGGGGTGCCTGCATTGGGGATGGGGATCCCTGCATTGGGGGTCCTTGGATTGCGGGTGGGGACCCTGGGCTGGAGGTCCCTGCATTGGGGGAGGGTCTTGGATGGGGGGTCCCTGGATTGGAGTTGGGGTCCCTGGGCTGGGGGTCTCTGGATTGGATTGGGGGGGGGGATCATTAGACTGGGGGTCCCTGGACTGGGGATGGGGGTCCCTGGATTTAGGGAGGAGGGTCTTTGGATGGGGGGTCCTTAGACTGGGGGTCCCTGGACTGGGAGGAGAGGGGGAGGACTTGGATTGGGGGTCTGTGGATTGGAGCTGGGGGTCTCTGGGTGGGGGGTTCTTGGACTGGGGGGGGAATCATTGGACCAGGGGTCCCTGGATTGGGGTTGGGGTCCCTGGGCTGGGGGTCCCCGCATGGGGGGGGGGGGAGGAGTCCTTCGATTGGGGGTCCTTGCACTGGAGGGTGTGCGTGGATTGGAGCTGGGGGTCCCTGGATTGGGGCTGGGGGTCTCTGGATTTGGGGGGGTCCCTGGATTGGGGGTCCTTAGATTGCAGATGGGGACCCTGGGCTGGGGGTCCCCGGATTTGGGGGGGAGTCTTGGATGGGGGGTCCTTAGATTGGGGGTCCCTGATTTGGGGCTGAGGTCACTGGGTGGGGGTTCCCTGGACTGGGGGAGGTGGGGGTCGTTGGATTGAGGTTCCTTGCACTTGGGGGGGGTCTCTGGATTGGGGGGGGGGGGGGGTCTCTGGATTTTGGGGGGTCCCAGGATTGGGGGTCCTTGGATTGCGGGTGGGGAGCCTGGGCTGGGGGTCTCCGGATTTGGGGGGGGGGGGGTCTTGGATGGGGGGGTCCTTAGATTGGGGATTAGAGGGGTGGTCCCTAAATTGGGGGTCCTTGGATTGGAGCTGGGGGTCCCTGGATTGGGGGGGGGGTCCTTGCATGGGGGGTCCTTAAACTGGGGGTCCCTGGATTGGGGCTGGGGGTCCCCGGATTTGGGGGGGGGTCTTGGATGGGGGTCCTTGAATTGGGGGTCCCTGCATTGGGGGGGGTCCCGGGATGGGGGCCGGGGTTCCCCGGGCGGGGGGAGGCGCTGAGCCGCGACGCCCCGAGGCGACAACGCCGCCTCCCCCCCTTGGCGCCCCCCCCCCCATTCAGCCCCAGCGCCCCGCGTCCCCCCGCCCCCCCCCCGTTACCTGCGGGACCCCCGTTGCCGCCCCGTCCGCCCGCAGCGCCGCCACCGCCACAGCGCCCCGCCCCGCCGCGCTGCCATTGGGCCGCCCCCGCTGGCGCTGACCAATGAGAGGAGGGGGAGAGGATCGGACGCGAGAGGATTGGACGACCGGGGGGGCGGGGGGCGGGAGAGAGGCTTGGCCTGCGTCCCGCCCGTGCGCACGCCGGATTGGCTGCGCGGGTTCAAGCGCTGGCCAATGAGAGGGAGAGGCGGCGAAGAGAAGCGAGGGATTGGCTCGCCCCCGCGGCGTGCGTCTCCCACGTGGGGAGAGACGAGATGTCAACACCCTGCGCGGCTTCCGATTGGCTGAGAGGAGGCGCCCAATGGCGAGAGGCGTTACGAGCCGGACGGGGGGGGGTGCGCCGTTAGCGCGCTGCCCATTGGTGGGTTGCGCGTCAACACAACGCGGGGGCGGGGGATTCCCCGTGGCTCTCCGTAGCGCCGCAGGGGGCGGTCACGTGTCGGGGCGGTCACGTGGTGAGGGCGGTCACGTGTTGTGCGCGTGGCTGCGGGAATGCCCCCCCCCCCCCGCCCCCGGTGGGAGGAGCTGGGATTTCCAGGCCCCGCCCACCTTGGGGGGGGCACCCATGGGAGGGGGGGGGGGGGGGCAACCCCCATCGTGCCCCCCCACCCCATGGCCGAGAGATGCGGGCTGCGGGCGGCCGCCCCCCTCCCCGGTGCGGGGGTCCCGAGCCCCCCCCGCTGCCCCTCGACCCGTTCAGACGGTGAGTGCCCCCCCCCCCCCCCCCCAACACCACCTCCCCCCCCCTTCCGTTCCCCGTTTTCACCCTATGGATGTTATGGGGGGGGGGGGGCTGGGCTCCGTGCCGGGGGGGGGGGTTTATGGGGCTGCGACCCACAGGTTTGGGGGCGGTGGGGGGCAGCGCTGGGGGGCGGCACTGCGGAGCCGTCGGTGCCCCCAAGGTCAGGGAGGGCGCAATGGGGGGGGGGGAGGAGAGCGGCAGCCCCCACCGGCCCCGCTGCCATCTTAAATATAGCGCTGACCTGCTGGGCTGGGTGTCCCGTAACCTATGGGGACCTTGAGGTGCGCCCCATAGGGACGCCGTTCTGTGTGTCCCCATATCCCATGACCTATAGGACACCAGGCTGTGCCCCATATCCTGTTCTCCATAGGGACACTGGAATGTTCCCTACCTCCCATTCCCTATAGGACGCCGTTCTGTGTGTCCCCATATCCCATAACCTATGGGGACACCATGCTGTGCCCCATATCCCATGACCTATAGGACACCAAGCTGTGCCCCATATCCCATGACCTATGGGGACACCATGCTGTGCCCCATGTCCCATGACCTATAGGACACCAAGCTGTGCCCCATATCTCATAACCTATGGGGACACCGAGCTGTGCCCCATATCCCGTGACCTATAGGACATCATGCTGTGCCCCATGTCCCATTCCCCATGGGGACACTGGAATGTCCCCCACCCCCCATTCCCCACAGGGACACCAGTGTAGATCCCACCCCCATTCCCCATAGGACACCATTCCTTATGTCCCCATATCCCATAACCTGTGGGGACGCAAAGCTACGTGTCCTCGTGTCCCATTCCCCATAGGGACACTGGAATGTCACCCACCTCCCATTCCCTATAGGACGCCGTTCTGTGTGTCCCCATATCCCATAACCTGTGGGGACACCATGCTGTGCCCCATATCCCATGATCTATAGGACACCAGGCTGTGCCCCATATCCCGTTCTCCATAGGGACACTGGAATGCTCCCCACCTCCCATTCCCTATAGGACGCCGTTCTGTGTGTCCCCATATCCCATAACCTATGGGGACACCAAGCTGTGCCCCATATCCCATGACCTATAGGACACCAAGCTGTGCCCCATATCCCATGACCTATAGGACACCATGCTGTGCCCCATATCCCATGACCTATAGGACACCATGCTGTGCCCCATATCCCATGACCTATAGGACACCATGCTGTGCCCCATATCCCATAACCTATAGGACACCATGCTGTGCCCCGTATCTCATGACCTATAGGACATCATGCTGTGCCCCATATCCCATGACCTATAGGACACCAAGCTGTGCCCCATATCCCATGACCTATAGGACACCATGCTGTGCCCCATGTCCCGTTCTCCATAGGGACACTGGAATGTCACCCACCCCCCATTCCCCATAGGACGCCGTTCTGTGTGTCCCCATATCCCATAACCTATGGGGACACCAAGCTGTGCCCCATATCCCATGACCTATAGGACATCATGCTGTGCCCCATATCCCATGACTTATGGGGACACCATGCTGTGCCCCATGTCCCATTCCCCATGGGGACACTGGAATGTCCCCCACCCCCCATTCCCCACAGGGACACCAGTGTAGACCCCACCCCCATTCCCCATAGGACGCCGTTCTGTGTGTCCCCATACCCATAACCTGTGGGGATGCAAAGCTACGTGTCCTCGTGTCCCATTCCCCATAGGGACACTGGAATGTCACCCACCTCCCATTCCCTATAGGACGCCGTTCTGTGTGTCCCCATATCCCATAACCTATGGGGACACCAAGCTGTGCCCCATATCCCATGACCTATAGGACACCAGGCTGTGCCCCATATCCCATGACCTATGGGGACACTGGAATGTCCCCCACCCCCCATTCCCCACAGGGACACCAGCGTAGACCCCACCCCCATTCCCCATAGGACGCCGTTCTGCACGTCCCCACCTCCCACAACCTATGGGATCCCCACGCTGTCCCCCACCCCCCCGTTCCCCACGGTGACCCCATTCTGCGGCTCCCCCCGCCGCCCCTCTTCGGGGTGACGGCAGCGGTGGGGAACGCAGCAGTGCAGGGGATCAGAGCCCGTCTGCGACCTCGGCGCGGGGCCGTGGGATCCGCTTGCAGCTGCTGACAGGCGCAAATCCCGACGTCCTGCAGGCTGTTGGCAGCGCTGGAGGGACGGCGGCGCCACGGGGGTGACACCAAGGGGCGGCGTTTTGTGCTGGATCTGAGCCGCCGCTGCTCCGCTGCTCCCACTTGGGCTGCTGGGGTTCGGCTCATCTCCGTCGCCAACGGGAGCCGCCGCCGCCGTGGGGCTCCAACCCCACACAGCTCCCATCGCACCGCGCTCCCCTCCCCGGCTGCTGATTTCGGCTTCTTTGCCTTTCTATCAGCTCCTTTGGGGGCTGTTTTGGATGCTTTCGTGCTGGGTTGGGGGCTGCAGGGTCCCCCGAAGCTCCGCTCTGCTGCTGCTGGGGATCCGGGGGCTGACGGCGCTCCGAGGTTCAGTGAGGGCAGCTGGAGAGGAGCCGCGCTTGGGGATGGAGTCGATCTCCTCGTCATCCGCGTCCTTTCACAGCTGGAACCATCAAACCCCCTCCTGCTGGTTCCTGCGAGCCGACAGGGTGGCCAAGAAGGTGACACAAACGCTGTCCTGGCGGACAAACAGTTGATCCGTGGGCGACCAACGATGGACCGCAGGGTGAGCGTGGGCCAACAGCGCCCTGGTGGCCGTGGAGGTGACGCAAATGATGTCCTGGATGACCAGCAGTTGACCAACAAGTGACCGTGGGGTGACTGTGAGCCTGCAGGGTGCCCTGGGGGCCAAGGAGGCCATGGGGTGACCATGTGTGTGCAGGGTGCCCTGGGGGCTGAGGAAGTGACACAAATGGTGTCCTGGATGACCAGCAGTTGACCAACAAGTGACCACAGGGTGACAACGAGCCAGCAGGGTGCCCTGGTGGCCAAGAAGCCCCTGGGGTGACCACGAGTCTGCAGGGTGCCCTGGGGGCCGAGGAAGTGACACAAATGGTGTCCTGGATGGCCAACGGTTGATCAGTGGTTGCCCACAGGGTGACCGTGAGCCAGCAGGGTGTCCTGGTGGCCAAGAAGGTGACACAAATGGCGTCCTGGATGACCAGCAGTTGACCAACAAGTGACCACAGAGTGACGACCACAGGGTGACAATGAGCCAGCAGGGTGCCCTGGTGGCCAAGGAGGCGTCCTGGCTGACCATCAGTTGACCAATGGGTGACCAGGTGACCAACAGTTGACCAGAAGGTGACCGTGAGCCATCAGTGTGCCTTGGTAGCCATGAAAGTGACACAAATGGGGTCCTGGATGACCAACGGTTGACCAATGGGTGACCAGTTGTTGACTGACAGTTGACCAACGGTTGCCCACAGGGTGACCAGAGCCAGCAGGGTGCCCTGGTGGCCAAGAAGGTGACACAAATGGTGTCCAGCAGTTGACCAGCAGTTGACCAACAAGTGACCACAGGGTGACAATGAACCAGCAGGGTGCCCTGGTGGCCAAGAAGCCCCTGGGGTGACCACGAGTCTGCAGGGTGCCCTGGGGGCCGAGGAAGTGACACAAATGGTGTCCTGGATGGCCAACGGTTGATCAGTGGTTGACCACAGGGTGACCGTGAGCCAGCAGGGTGTCCTGGTGGCCAAGAAGCCCCTGGGGTGACCATGAGTCTGCAGGGTGCCCTGGGGGCCAAGGAAGTGACACAAATGGCGTCCTGGATGGCCAACGGTTGATCAGTGGTTGACCACAGGGTGACCGTGAGCCAGCAGGGTGTCCTGGTGGCCATGAAAGTGACACAAATGGTGTGCTGGATGGCCAACGGTTGACCAATGGGTGACCAGTTGTTGACTGACAGTTGACCAACGGTTGCCCACAGGGTGACCAGAGCCAGCAGGGTGCCCTGGGGGCCAAGAAGGTGACACAAATGGTGTCCTGGATGACCAGCAGTTGACCAACAAGTGACCACAGGGTGACAATGAACCAGCAGGGTGCCCTGGTGGCCAAGAAGCCCCTGGGGTGACCACGAGTCTGCAGGGTGCCCTGGGGCTGAGGAAGTGACACAAATGGCGTCCTGGATGGCCAACGGTTGATCAGTGGTTGCCCACAGGGTGACCAGAGCCAGCAGGGTGCCCTGGTGGCCAAGAAGGTGACACAAATGGCGTCCTGGATGACCAGCAGTTGACCAACAAGTGACCACAGGGTGACCAGAGCCAGCGGGTGTCCTGGTGGGCAGCAAGGTGACAGCTTCACTCCTCCAGCCCACACGGGGGCGCTCTCTGATAGCGGCGCTCCCGGGATGCCCCGTCGCACAGCGCTCAGCGCATGCGCACGGGCCCTCAGAGCCCGGACGAGCGGCCGCGCACGCGCACTGCAGACCCTCCGCGCCCTCTCCGCGTCCGGCGCGCAGGCGCGGCGGCGCATCGCGCATGCGCCTCGGCGCGGCGCCCGCAGCGTCGCTCCGTCCGTCCGTTAAGGCCGCGTCGCCGAGGCGCTCCGCTCGGCCCGGCTCGTCTCGGCCCGCGGGCGGCGGGAGGAACCGGAGGAGGACGGGGGAGCCGCCCCGGGCGGCCGGGAGAGGTAGGGCCGCAAGGCCGCCAGGCCGCCCCCCGGGCCTGCGCCGCGCTGAGGGGCCGCACAAAATGGCGGCCGGAGCCGCGCTGCGGGGCGGCGGGCCGGGAGCGGCGGTTCGGAGCTGCGGGGCGGTTTGTGCGTCAAGGAGGCGCCGCGCTGCTGCCGGGCTCCGTCTCCGCTCGGTCGGGGAGTCGTGCGGCTCCGGAGAGGCCGGGGAGCCCGCAGGGGAGCCTTGGGCCCGCATCCCTTTTGGGCCCGCGTCCCTCGGGGCCGCATCTCTTCCGGGCCCGCGTCCCGCGCAGCCTCAGGAGCGCTGAGAGGAGCCCGGAGCCGCGGTTCCTCTCGTTTCCCTCGGCGCTGACGGGCGCTGCGGGCGCTTTGTCCGCCGGCGGCTCCGCGTTGTGCCGGGTGTCTCGTTGTGCCCGGCGGCCCCGCTGGGCTGCGCTCAGTGCTGTGGGCTGTGCGATCCCAAAGGGTTTTTCCCACCCGAGGGCTTCTGCGGTGCTGCCGTAGCCGTCAGTGCGCGGATGTTGGGCTGCTTGTGAGGCACGGAGCTGCGCTGCTTCACCTCCTGGGGCGGTATGGAATGGCCTGGGTTGAAAAGGGCCACAGCGAGCGTCTCACTCCTGCCGTGTGCAGGGTCACCAAGGAACCCATACATCCCCCCTCCATAGATTTCCCCCTCCCTCTCCATGTATCCCCCCATAGAATCACAGCATGGCCTGGGTTGCACAGGAGCACAGCGCTCATCCAGCTCCAAGCCCTGCTGTGTGCAGGGCACCAACCAGCAGCCCAGGCTGCCCAGAGCCACATCCAGCCTGGCCTCGAATGCCTGCAGGGCTGGGGCATCCACAGCCTCCTTGGGCAACCTGTGCCAGTGCCTCACCGCCCTGTGTGTGAAAAGCTTCCTCCTAACATCCAACCTGAACCTCCCCTGGCTCAGTTTAAAAGCATTCCCCCTTGTCCCGTCACCATCCACCCTTGGAAACAAACATTCCTATTCCTGTTTATGCGCTCCCTTCAAGTATTGGAAGGGCGCTATGAGGTCTCCCTGGAGCCTTGTCTTCTCCAAGCTACTTGTTCCAGTGCAGTACCGAGGTACAGGTCGTTAAATTCTTTAGGTTTATTTTCATGGAGTTGGGAGGGGCCTTCAGGAGCCGTCTGCTCCCACCGCCCTGCCCTGAGCAGGGACACTCAGGAGCCCAGGCCCCATCCTGCCTGCACGGCTCGTGGGATGGAGCTTCCACCACGTCTCTGGGCAGCCTCTTCCTGTTCTGTTTCTCCATGGAGTCATTGGAAAAGAGCACTGCAGGGGCACAGCGCCGCGGTGCTTTGGGTTCCTTTCCTCTCGGGATACGCTGCGGTTCGGTGACAAGAACTCAGTGTGCGTTTAGAAGACCGGAAAGCAGCGGTCGCCCTCACGATCCACAGCCCAGCCCTGAGCTCAGCTCCAGGCTCAGCCTCCTGCTGTGTGCTCGTGGCTCTCGCAGCTGAGACGAAGTCCTGGCGCTGCCCTGAGCTGTGCTGGAGGGTGGATGCTGTGAGGTAAGGAGAAGCGCTCCTCGGGGGCAAGGAATATCTTGCGTTGCATCGCATTCTTTCCCAATCCTTTAAGGGCCTCCTGCCAGGACAAACAGAGCAGCCTGCGCTGGAGGGGTGGGGATGTGCTGCTCTCTATGACGAGTCGAAGTGAGAGCTGTTTATCCCGGGGTGGGGCTCCGAGTTGCCTGCAAAACATTCCCTTCCCCTGCCCAAATGCTGCGTGGTTGGGCGCAGGCTGGGTTCTGCAGGGCTCCACCACCCCGTTCGGTTCTGCCTGCGGGTGGGGAGCGGCGCAGGAATGCTCTTTGGGGTCTAAAGGTAAATGAAATGGTTTCTTATTTCTTTGCCACCGGGGGGGTTTTTGTGAACAGAGCTGGATGCTTTACGTCGGGGTTTCGAGGCTGAAGTGTTGGTGCGCAGAGCTCTGCGTGCCTCAGAGCTGCTGTGCGTGGATGCGTGCGTGAAGGAAGCAGCGCAGGATCTGTGCTGCTCTGATATTTCACACGGGAGGTGGAATTTGGAGAAGACACCCATTCTTGCTGCTGGCATTCCATAGCAGTGCTGAAGCATCGTTTGTTGGCCTTCTCGTGACGGTTCCTTCCTGGAAGACTCCCACAGGCTTCCTTCTGTCGGGATGTGAAGTGTCCCGGCGTGGCAGGTGCTGGGAGGGAACCTGTGGCAGCATCAGAGAGCTGTAGGTTTTTATTCTTGTACCTCGAGGCCGCCTTTATCTTACCTGTGAGTTTTCTCAGCACTTCTTGCTCTTTTTTTTTTTTACCTTTCCTTGGCCCTGCTGAGGTGGGGGAGGCCTGGCAGCCCTGCAGGTGCTTGGCTGCAGCCTTTGGGGCACGGAGATGACTTGGATGGGAGCAGGCTGGATGGAGCTTTCTGTGCTTGGTGGGGTGTCTGCGGCCATGGAGGGGCTTGGCCTGTCTTGTGTGAAGCAAGCGGAGCGGGAAGCATTGCAGGAGGGAAGCCGGGAGAGACGGATCGAGCCCTGCGGTGGAGCAGCAAGCTGCTTTCTCTGCTTCCTAAGGACTGGCATCTGCTGCTCTCAGTGCTGTGCGACTCCGGTGCCTGAGAACCATCTGAGTGTGAATGGACTGACAGCTCAGACTGACCTCACTGGGGGGAGCGTGGCCAACAGAGGCCCCTGCTGAGGACTCCCGAATGTGGAACCCAGGCAGACACGAAGGAGCTGCTGCCCCGAGGGCAGCCCTGCACAGCCCCACTGCAACGGCGAGCCTTCCAGCCAACAAGGCCTTCCAGCCCACATCCGTGGGTCGAGACCCCAGCCTGGAACGGCGCTGGATCCAAAGGGTGGTGAAACCTCTCCGTTTTCTGTCTCTCTCTCCCCTCTTCTCTTTTCTCTCGAGTGTCTTTTACTTGTTTTCCTTTGGTAGCTGTGGCCTAATGTTGCCTTAGAGCTGTTGATAAGGAAATAAGGACCGCTCTCAGAAACGTCTCCCTGTTTTGCTCTGCCTGGGCAGCTTGCAGAAGAAGCAGCACCTGGGGCCCGGCCTCATCCTGGCACTGCGGGCACAACAGCTTCACCTTCCTCCTCCTCCCCTCTGGGGTGGATCCTGCCAGCTGCCTGCAGCGACTTTCAGTTTCTCAGCCTGCTGTAGCGTTCCTACTGCCGTGTGCTGTCTGTTGTCCCTGCCCAGGGGATGGAACTGCAGGCCCTGTGCCACCATGGAGAGGACTGGAAGAGAGGGTGGTGTCATCTCAGACCTCAGTGCCGTGGATGCGGGCTGTGGGGGGCTGTGAAGCTGGAAAGGGTCCATGCAGGAATAGTGCTGCATGGGCTGCTGGCAGGCGGGTCTGCAGGCGCAGCAGGAGGGCTGGGGTCTCCCTAAGGGACTCCTGTCTGCAGATCCAGCAGTCGGTGGAGCAGGGCCCCGTTTCTGGGCAGGTTGTACTGGGCTTCGTGGTAGAAATCTGGTGGTGGCTGACTGGAAGCACAGCCCTTGGTGTTGTCAGGGACTGCGAGAGCAGCACCCGAGTGCCTGCAGGACCCCGCCAGCGTCACTGTGTGGGGCAGCACAGCTGGAGAAGGGAAGAGACTCCTGGAGGACTTGGGGAGGTCCTTGTGAAACAGCAGAACCAAGGGAGCTGCGTGGGGCATCCGGCTCTTGGGATGGACGCAGCTGCATCCCAGCAGTGCCAGGACAGCTTTCCTCAGCGCTGTGGGTTTCTGGAGAGCTCGTGCGCTGGGTTGTGAGCGTGTGTGTGGCTGCTCTCTGCTGGGTAAGCTGAAAGATAAGCTGTGTGCAGGGGCCTGGCAGCAGGCATTCACACACATCCAGCAGGAGAGCGTTGCTGGCTTAGACCGTGGCAGGCTGGGTTCCAGCAGCAGGTTCTGCACCGCAGCACGGAGCAAGCCGCGCGTTGTGGCCGCTGCTGGGCAGCGTGGGTACGCAGCTGGGGGTGGCAGAAGGAAAGGACGTTGCTTGGCTTTTGAGGCTGTTTTACAGCCCGTCCTTCTGTGGAAGGGGATGAGTGCCTGTGCTTCGTTTGCCTGTTTTCTTCTCTACCTCTGCTGGTGGCTGCGATGTCAGGGCTGGCTGGCAGGACACGGGGCAGTGGCTTCCAGCAGAGGACCGGCAGCGAGCTGCTCTGCGTGCTGTGGCTTTGCAGGGAGTGGAGGGGTTGTGTGGCGCTGAGCTCGGCTGAGCAGTGAGGATGCTCAGGGGCCATTGGGTGAAGGTCTGGACAGCACAGCTGGCTGCCTCTGCGCCACGCTCGGCTTCCCAGCTTGTTCTGTTGAAACGCAACTCGCACGGAGCCTGGAAATTCAGCAACGTTTAGTGAGAGAAATCAGCAGCAAATTATCTTTGCTCTGGTTGTGCTGGGCTGTATCTGCAGGGCCGACCTTCCCCAGTGACTAGAGAAGGTTCTTCCGCGTTCTCCGTGCGTCTCCTTGCCCCTGGCTTTGCTGTGGCTGTGTTGAGTCCAGCTTTGTTCGGGTCGCTGCCCGCCTCCAGGGGTTGGGGGTTCACCTGTGTGCGGTGTGCAGGCAGGAGGCAGAGCCGAGCTGCGAAGCCCTGCCGTGTTCTGCCTGCATCCACGCGTCCTGCTGCGGTTTCAGCTGAGATAAAAGCCGACGGGTTCCGCTGCCGTTCTGCATGCCGCATCCCCAGCCTTCGTACGACTTTACACCTTTCTATCTCAAGTTGTCTCAGTGCCAAATCTTGCCTCTGCCAGACGGAGCTGCAGGCGCAGGATGCGGCCGCTGCGCCCCGCGGATGCTTTCAGGATGCTGTAGTTCCCCAAGGGAGCTGCCGTGGGAGCATCCCTCCGCCAGCCGTCCTGCCTGCAGCTCCGCAGCCACCTCACTCCCAAACTGCCTCTGTTCTCATCTCTCTGCACCACCATTTCGCTTTGTGAAGCGTTCGGAGTGGGCTCCAAACCCTTTGGTTTACCGCTCACGGCGCGCACGATGACGTTGTTCTTAAAGGCCTGAAATGTCGGGTCTTGGAAAATGCTGTCGTCTCGGGGTTTTGTTCTCTGTGACACTGAACGCGTTGGGTCCAACCTGTCTGCCTGGGAGCAGACTGCGGGGTGAGGCCGTGTGAGCGATGGGCAACGCTGTTGTTGGCGGCTTTGTGAACTTGAAATGTAGAAGTGCCATTGAGGTGCTGTTTTCTGCCCTGCCCTGTTTTTCCCACTGGTTATAGAACCCACAGCGCGCAGCCGGTGCACCGCTGAACCATCTAACCCTTGTCTTTTAACTTTCAGCTTTGTGTTGTTCTTGGAAAGTTTCGCTCCACTTGTGAATTCCTTGAACCTTGGCATTGCCAGCCCGCTTGTGTTGGGCCCTCCTCCTTTTCAGCTTGCTCACATTAAGACCCAGTTGGCTCTGCAGCAGTTGACCGCCAGCAGCTCCGCGCCTCCTCATGCTTCCTTCGGCCGGGCCGTTCTGAAAAGCGCCATGTTTAGCCCCAGAGGAGCGTTGCCGCAGAGGCCGAGAGGACCCAACCCGTCCGCAGCGAAGCCCCCGGGATCCTTCCAGGGTGTGACGGGCCCGCAGAGACCCCCGGCCCCAGGAGCACCCCGGGGGGCAGCGCCGCGCGCGTCGGGGCAGGACAGCGTCCCGTGGACCGGCTCGCAGCGCATCAACGTCCGCGTCACCCTGCACAGGGCCGACCCGCGGCAGGCCAAGGCCAAGGGCAGCCTGCACCAGGAGCAGAAGGGCGACGTGCGCGCCGGCCGCTGGGACGGCAGCCCCTGCCCGCCCCCGCCGGTGGTCTCGCAGAAGCCCCCGGCCCGAATCCCGGAGCAGAACGCCGCGGCGCAGAACCGCTACACGCCGGAGAGCGCGTCCAGCATCTTGGCGAGCTTCGGGCTGTCCAACGAAGATCTGGAGGAGCTCAGTCGCTACCCGGATGACCAGCTGACCCCCGAGAACATGCCGCTCATCCTCAGAGAGATACGGATGCGGAAGATGGGCCAGCCTTTGCCCGGCCTGCATTCCCAGAGCCGAGGAGAAGCGATGAGCGGGACGAGCGGCGCGGCCGTCAAGGGCAAGGTGATCGACTACGGGCACGCCAGCAAGTACGGGTACACCGAGGATCCCCTGGAGGTGCGCGGTTACAACGTGGAAGCGCTGAGAGAGGAGCCTCTGGAAGCACGGCCCTACAACCCCGAAGCGCCGGGCGGAGAGAAGAGGGAAGAGTTCCACCGAGAGCAGAGCGTGCCCATGGGCGTCCCGCCGGCCAGCGTGGCGTGCGGCCCGGCCTTCCCACCGCAGGACGTCATGAAGCCCCCGCCGGCTTTCCAGAGCGACCCGGCCAACCCTCACCCATTTTTCCCAGCGGAGCCAGCGGGGAAGGCGGGCGGGCTGTGCGCGGCGCCCGTGGGGAAGGCCGGCCCCCCGCCCGCGGTGCTGCCCGTCATGCCGCCCATCCTGCCGCTGGCCGTGCCGCCCATGGCGCAGCCCGTCGTGCCGCCGCTCATCTCGCAGCCCGTCGTGCCCGTCCTCCCCCAGCCGCCCTTCTCGGCAGAGCTGCTGGCCATCCTGGAGCAGCGGGACAGGATCCAGCACGAGGCCGGGAGCAGCCAGCCCAGCGCCCAGAGCTCCGGGATGGGGCAGAAGCCCTTCCAGCCGCAGCCCGAAGGGCCCGTTAAGTCCCCCTTTGGCGTTGTGAAGGCGTCGTGGCTGCCGTCCTTCCTGCAGTCTGACTCCCAGAAGATCAAACGCTTGCCCACCCCGTCAATGATGAATGACTACTATGCGACGTCGCCGAGAATATTCCCACATATGTGTTCTCTGTGTAACGTAGAATGCGCTCGTATGAAGGTGAGTGTCTTTACAGATTATTGCCGTAGTTGTACCCAGCTCCTTACCCGCTGCTCCGTGTGGGGAGCTGATGTTTTACTGGCTGTGCTGCTGCTCAGCGGCCTGAGTGCCGAGGTGCCGATGTCAGGCGGCGCAGGGTGAGCGCCGCGCCGCACAGCGCGCTCTGTGTCCAACCTCGTGCGCGTTGTTCGGGTTGCTCTCGTGTTAAAAGCAAGGTCTGCCTTTGGATCCCGAGCAGCAGAACGAACCCTTCGTCGCCTGCTTAAACCACTGACGTTGCCTGGTTGTCGGCGGCGCTGTGCTGACCGGCGGGGCAGGTGAGTGCGCCCCACGTTGGGGTGCTCAGCCCCGCTGCTGCAGAGCCGACGCCGGCAGAGCGCTGCCGCTCTGTACCCACATCGCCTTCCAGGCTGGCCCAGGGGAGGCTCCAGCTGTGAGCGGTGCCTGCAGCTCGCCGTCCACCCAGCCGGGCTGTGGAGCCGTGGGTGGCATCAGCCCGTGGTGGAAGAAGAGGAAGTGTCAGCGGTTTGCGGGCTGCTTCGGCCCGGTTCCGTGAGCAGCGGGGCGGAGGGATCTGCGGATCCGCGCCTCCAGAAAAGGGAAACAGGGACCCCAAAATATTTGAAAACAGCGGCAATAATCTGAGGTGGAACAAACGATTTGTTAAATAGAGTATTAGCAAAGCACAATGGGAGAGAGTTTGTCTGAATGGTAGGTAGGCCTCAGCGCAGTGCTGGGGTGAGAAGTGCAGTCCAGTGGAGTGAATGAAGAGAAGCCGACGGCGAAGCGCAGGCGAAGAAGAAGGAATCTGGTGACCTTGCACAGAGTTCTGTCTCCTCGCTGACCACAAAGCCTCCTGGGGAAATGTCGTTCTTCTCCATCGGGCAGACATCCGGAACGCGAGCATCAGAAATCAAACCCCCCAGTGCATTACGTGATGTTATGGTGTGGAATACAGATAACCAAAACCCATAAAACCAGGACAGGAAGGAAGAAGAGAGAGAAGAGAATCCTGAAAGCCGTAGGTGTTCCTTGAAGGAGCTGAGCTTGACGTGGCGAAACCCACAAGAACGTGACTTGAAATAACTGTGTGGTTTTGTTATTGGCTCCGTGCGTTGGAATTGGAAGCAGCTTTCCCCAAACAGGAAGCCTGTGGGGGCAGAGCCGGGCAAGGTTGCTGCGTTTCGGACGGCGCGTGGCTGCTGCAGTGCTGGCAGCTGCACCAGGGGCATCGCAGTGCTGGAGCTCTCCTGGTCGGGAAGAAATGCAGCGGGATGGGAACCTGAAAGGGAAGCTTCGTTCCAGAGAAGAACGTCTGAAATGGAACAGGTAACAGATGAGGGTTTGTGTTCACCACGGGGCAGGGCTCGGGGAAGCGCCCTCAGTTCCCGTGTGAGCTGAAAGACTGGGTTTCCTCCTGCTCCATGGACTGCCGGCGCTGCCAGAGGAGCTGACTTTCATAGAATCACAGCATCACAAGGTTGGAAGCGAGCCATAAATCATGCAGTCCAACCCCCCTCCCATTGCTATCAGTGCCACCAGCAGCAAAGCACAGCACGCAGCTCCTCAGCCAGGCGCCTCCTGAACGCTGCCAGGGACGGCGCCTCCCCCACCTCCTGGGCAGCCATTGCAGGGCCTGAGCACTGAGAGCAGCAGTTCTGCCTTATGTCCGACCCAAACCTCCTCTGGCACAACTTGCGGCCGTTTCCTCGGCTCCTGTTTGTTGCCTGGGACAAGAGGCCAAAGCCCTCCTGATCGCAGCCCCCCTTCGGGAGGTGGCAGAGTGCAGCCAGGTCTCCCCTCAGCTCCTCTTCTCACCCTCAACGCTCCCAGCTCCCTCAGCTCCTCAGCAGCCCTGTGCTCCACACCCCTCCCCATCTCGCTGCCCTTCTCTGCACGCTGTGGGGCTGCGGCTTTGTGTCCCTATGTGGGTTCCCACGTCGACCTCGCCGCCTTTCCTCCCTCCCTGAGCCGAGCTCAGCGGGAGCACAGGGCTGCTTTCGGGAGGTGGCAAGTGGTGCCGCGTGGGGCCGAGCTGCGATGTGCGGCTTTGAGATGCCCTGCTACAAAGTGCTGCCTTGGTGACGGGGCCGGCTGGGAAGGTTTGATCGTGGCATCACCGAGATTGGAAGGGTCCTCTGGGAGCACCAGGTCCAACCTGCTATTTCCCCACTGACTGAGTCCTGCAGTAACATCTGCGTGTGTTCAGAAGGAAGCAGCGCGGCGATGGCTCACGGCACAGCAGCTGCTGAGTTTTGGAGAGGATGGAGCGTATGGAATGAGAAGAATCCAGCACTGAAAGCGACTCCAGGTCCGACAGCAGAGTTCAGCGTTGCTGAAATGACGGACTCAGAGCTCGGAGCGCTCGCCAGGAGCGTTCGTTGTGCTGTGACTCTTTGGCAGCGCAGCCCCACGCGGCAGCGGCGCCCATTGAGGACAGCCCACGTCAGAGCCGTGCCCCCGCCGCTCCATCTCTGCATCCCTGGGCTGCGTCCCTTTGGCCCCCCAGCCTCCCTGTCCCACGTGGAGCCCAGCCCCACGCACCCTGCAGCATCCGCTCGTTTTCCTCGGGTATTTAACGTTGCTCGTTAACGAGCTCGGATGAAACCGAAGCTGAAGCAGCTCAGGAGATCTCAGCATAAAAACGAGAGCTGTGTCTGGACAGTCACACACCTGAACGTGCCTGCGCTCCTCGGGTGCCTCTCCATGGAGCTGCCTGCTCCTGAGGGCAGCGCTCAGCGTGGCGCAGCTCTGCTCTGGGAAGAGACCCACGGGGAGCCCCGCAGTGCTGCTGCGAGGCACAGTGCCGTCCTTGCGTGCACGGTGGCTCAGCAGAAGCACGTTTGTGTCCTGGTGGAGAACCGTCCCGCTCCCTGTCAGCTGCAATCTCACCTTGCTGTTCTCTGCAGGACTGTTGGCAGGGTGAAGCGTGCTGTGAGCGCTTCTCTTTCACTTCGGTAGCGGCTGCGGTGCAGTTCTGAAGGGTGATTTCTGCCTTCAGCCACCTCGTTTGCAGCCCACGTGGAATGGTGACGCTCAGCAGCAGCTCTGCATCTCCAGCCCAGCACCGTGCCTTCACAGAACCACAGGATGGCCCGGGTTGGAAGGGACCTCGGGGGTGATCACAGCATTGCAGGGGTTGGAAGGGACCTCTGGAGATCATGGAGACCAACCCCCTGCCAAGGCAGTTCCTACAGCAGGTTGCACAGGTAGGCGTCCAGGTGAGACTTGAACGTCTCCAGAGGAGGAGAACCCACAGCCCCCCTGGCAGCCTGTTCCAGTGCTCCACCCCCCCATCATGCAGGGCCACCAGGCTGCCCAGGGCCCCATCCAACCTCCAACCCCTCCAGGGATGGACGGGGCATCACAGCCTCTCTGGGCAGCTGTTCAGCCCCTCCCCGCTCTCACAGCACACAACTTCCCCTGACACCCGACCTTGCAGTGCTTGCTCTCTGCTTTAAGGTGAGGCTCCTGGGCTGGGTGACCCACAGAGGTGCCTGCAGCCCTCAGTGCTGGAGCTGCCCCTGTGCTCGCTGCTGGAGGGGAGGAACGCACACGGATGGCGGCTCCTGTAACGCTGTGAGGACGCGTTGCTGCAGCGAAGGCTGGAAGAAGAGAAGGACGTCAGCTTGTTGGGAAGGAGGATCTCTGAGCTGAAGAGGGGTTTCTCTCCAGCAGCACAGCGGGGATGCACAGAGCTCACAGTGCTGCGCTGCTGCTCCTGGTGCTGTGCTGTGCACGCGGTGCTGCTGAGAGCCTGCAGGCTGTTCCATCAGCCCTTCCCTTGGCTGGGACACACAACTCGCTCATTCTGCTTCAGGCACTGGAAATAACTCTGGTTTCCTTACAAGCACCAAGCGGTGTTGTGCTGGCACGTTGTGTTCCCCCCCCCGGCACGCTTCGAGGAAGCCATCACCGACTTTCCATCGAGGCCCCGCGTCGGCCTTGCAGCCCACGAGCAACTTCGTGCCAGCTGAGCGCTTTTGTGGAGCCTTAGAACGGTTTTATTGTCCTTTGTTAGCAACCGGCGTGCAATTGGAAGGGCTGCGTGTTTGTGAGATGGCTGCTGCGCTCCCCGAAGCACCGCGGCGGGCGCTGCCTGCAGGGCTCAGCGCTGCTCCCCCTGCCAACCCTTGGGCAGCAGGTTTAGCGCCCGCCAGCAGCTCGGCGCTGCCGCTTTGAGGGCAGTCTTGGCGCAGCTGCTGGCGCTGTTGTGCTTTCCTTCGACCGCGTGGAGGAGTTCCCAGCTGTGAGGGCTGGCGCTGTGGCTCTGGGTTTGTGTTGTGCTTTACGCCCCCCCAGGCAGGGCTCTGGTCGCAGCTCTCCTACGGAGCGATGGCTGGGGCTGGCGAGGTGCGTGGGGCTGGTTCGTGGCCTCTGGGTGCCAGGAGTGATGGTGCCAGCAGGGTGAGCCGTGCTTCGGCTGCAGCACCGGGGCCCTCCTGCTGCTGCATCGCGTTGGCAGCTCAGCTCGGCACGGGGGCTCACGCAGCCCAACAGCCGGGGAGGCGGTCGAGCTCTGTGTTCTGCAGCAGCCTCCCCCAGTCGTGTGTTTCATCTCCTGCACCAAGAGTGCTGATGCCAGGAGAGCGCTCCGACCTCGCTGGCAGGGCTGGCTGGCGATGGGAGGGGAGGCACCACGGCCCTGCAGCTTGTGGCCCTGCAGCTTAGAATCATAGAATCATAGAATCACCAAGGTTGGAAAAGACCTAAAAGATCACCCAGTCCAACCGTTCACCTATTCCCAATAGCTCCCACTAAACCACGTCCCTCAGCACAACATCCAGCCTTTCCTTGAACACCCCCAGGCTCGGTGCCTCCACCACCTCCCTGGGCATCCATTCCAGTGCCTGACCACCCTTTCTGAAAAGTAATACTTCCTAATGTCCAGCCTGAATCTCCCCTGCCGTAGCTTGAAACCATTCCCCCTGGTCCTATCATTGATGACACGAGAGAAGAGGCCGACCCCCAGCTCACTACAACCTCCCTTCAGGAAGTTATAGAGAGCAATGAGGTCTCCCCTGAGCCTCCTCTTCTCCAGGCTGAACATTCCCAGCTCCTTCAACCTCTCCTCATATGGCCTGTGCTCCAGACCCCTCACCAGCTTTGTTGCCCTCAGGCTTGTGGCCCTGCAGCTTGTGGCCCTGCAGCTTGTGGGCCGACGTGGGCGTGCTGTGTGCTCACCCAGCCCTGTGCCTGTGTTCTCTCTCCCCCCAGGACTGGATCCTGCACCAGAACACCCCTTCCCACATCGAGAGCTGCCGCCACTTACGACAACAGTAAGGCTTCGGTTTCAAAACGGGGGAGGGGGCACAAGGGTTTTCTGTGCGGATGAGGCTCCCTGTGCGCCACTGAGCCCGGCTGGGCCGGGGCTGGGGGTGGGCGCCCGGGGGCTGAGCTGCGGCGTTCTGCTGAGGATGGGATCCCGTGGCTGACGGCTGTGTTCTGACCCCACAGGTACCCCGACTGGAACCCCGAGTCGCGCTCTTCAAAGCGGTAACCACTCCTTGATTACAGCTTCTTAATTTGCCGCTATGCTCGTTAACACGGTTCGTTTTCCAGCTTTGTTTACTGCCGGGCTGTAGGAGCCTTGCCTTCCCTTTCTGCGGTGCCATCGCGTGGGCCATCAGAGCAGCTATTGTCCCGAGGTCCTTAATAACTCCAGTGTTGTGTTGGCACAGAACTTGGGGCCAGCTCAGCAGAGGCTGAACGGCTCTCAGCGAGTTTGGGTTGTTTTACCGCTTCGATGCGTGCGCGCATTTCCACTGCGGTGCAAATGGGAGCGAAGGGGCTTTTGCTTCTGCTGCGTGTTGCCGTCTGTTAGACATCCTGAGAAGCCGAATACTGAGTTAACAAGCAAAGAAGCACGGAAAGAAGTCAGGTTCATTTGCAGAGTGGGCCCAGAGTCTCTCTGAAAGGCTCCTCAGTGTCAGATCCGCCAGGCTGTGCCCGGCTGGGGCCCTGTGGGGCAGGCTGTGCGTTTGGCACTGCAGGGCTCGGTGTGCGCAGGAGAAATGACGGGGGCAGGCCGGGCTGCTGGGCTCGGTGCGGGCCCTGCCTCATCTGCGCTGCGTTGGGTCACTGCTCAGAGGGCTGGGGGGCCTTGGGCAGCCTGAGATGATGGGGGAGGGACCAAGGGGGCTTTAGGATCCCTTCCAACCCAACTGTGATATGATTCTGTCCTTCTGTGGTCTTCGGGGACCCTTCCAACCCAAATCAGCTCATTGCATGGTTCTGTGACCTTCAAGGACCCTTCCAACCCAATATGAGCTGTTCCATGGTTCTGTGACCTTCAAGGACCCTTCCAACCCAACGCCAGCATTCCATGATTCTGTGACCTTTAAGGACCCTCCCAACCCCAGCATTCTATGGTTCTGTGACCTTCAAGGACCCTTCCAACCCCAGCATTCTGTGGTTCTGTGGCCTTAGGGACCCTTCCAATCCAACACAAGCCATTCCATGGTTCTGTGACCTTCTAGGACCCTTCCAATCCAACCCCAGCATTCCATGGTTCTGTGACCTTCAAGGACCCTTCCAACCCAACCCCAGCATTCTGTGACCTTCAAGGACCCTTCCAACCCCAGCATTCCATGGTTCTGTGACCTTTAAGGACCCTTCCAACCCAACCCCAGCATTCTGTGACCTTTAAGGACCCTTCCAACCCAACCCCATCACTCCATGGTTCTGTGACCTTTAAGGACCCTTCCAACCCAACCCCATCACTCCATGGTTCTGTGACCTTCAAGGACCCTCCCAACCCAACCCCATCACTCCATGGTTCTGTGACCTTTAAGGACCCTTCCAACCCCATCACTCCATGGTTCTGTGACCTTTAAGGACCCTCCCAACCCAACCCCATCACTCCATGGTTCTTCCCTCTTTCAGCTCCCTTCCAACCCACCCCATTCAGCCACTCTAGGATTTACTGCCAGGTCCGAACTCACCAGCAGCCTCTCTTTCCTCAGGAATGCGGCGGACAGGAAGGAGAACCAGACCCCCAAGCACCGCTCCAACTCGGCCAGCCCCGGCCCCAGGCGCCCCAGGCCCGCGGCCTCCAGCCATGCTCCCCGTCACTCCCGCTCGCGCTCCAGGAGCCCGGGCCGCTATCGCCCAGCACGACCCAGGAGCCGAAGCCCGCGGGCGGCACGACGCCTGAGCCCCAGGCATTGGTCACGGTCACCTCAGCGGTCCAGGAACCCCCTGCGGGGCAGCCCGCGGCCGCAGCGCTCCTCCAGCAATGACTGGTCGTCGAGGAGGACCAGCAGATCCCAAGGTGCGGGGGGAACGCGGGGGGGTGGACGGGTGGTGGCCTCGGGGTGGGCGTTGGGAGGGGTTGGTTGTAGGGAAGGGCTGGTCCTGAAAGGCTTGCGGTGGAGGCTGCGGCATCGATCACAAAGGCAGGCTGAGGGAGCTGGGCTCCTTCAGCACGGAGAGGAGAAGCTGCGGGGTGAGCAAAGTGCAGCCTGCAGTGCCTGAAGGGAGCCTGCAGCCAGGAGGGGAGGCAGCTGTGTGCAAGGGGAGATGGCAGCAGGACGAGGGGAAACGGTTTGAATGGAGGGAGGGCAGCTTGGGGTTGGGTGTCAGGGGGATTTCTTTAGAGAGAGAGAGGTGAGGGGCTGAACAGCTGCAGAGAGGCTGCGATGCCCCGTCCATCCCTGCAGGGGTTGGAGGTTGGATGGGGCCCTGGGCAGCCTGGTGTAGCCTTAGATATGGAGGTTGGCCCTGCGTGCAACAGGGGGTCTGAGCTTTGTGATCCTTGAGGTCCCTTCCAACCCGGGCCGTTCTGTGATGCTGTGAGAAAGACAGGGAGCTGTTGGAGAGGGAGCAGAGGAGCCACAGAGATGAGCAGGGGCTGCAGCACCTCCCTACAAAGGCAGGCTGAGGGAGCTGGGCTCGTTCAGCACAAAGAGCAGAAGCTGCGGGGTGAGCAAAGTGCAGCCTGCAGTGCCTGAAGGGAGCCTGCAGCCAGGAGGGAAGGCAGCTGTGTGCAAGGGGAGATGGCAGCAGGACGAGGGGAAACGGTTTGAATGGAGGGAGGGCAGCTGGACGTTGGATGTCAGGGGGATTTCTTTAGAGAGAGAGAGGTGAGGGGCTGAACAGCTGCAGAGAGGCTGCGATGCCCCGTCCATCCCTGGAGGGGTTGGAGGTTGGATGGGGCCCTGGGCAGCCTGGTGTAGCCTTAGATATGGAGGTTGGTGGCCCTGCGTGCAACAGGGGGTTGGAGCTCCATCACCCCTGAGGTCCCTTCCAACCCCGGCCGTTCTGTGATGCTGTGTGAGCTGCTGTGGGATTCCCAGCAGTTCTGAGCCCTCCTGGGGTGGCTGTTTGTGAAAGGTTGAGGGAACTGGGATTGTTCAGCTTGGAGCAGAGAAGGTCAGGGGAGACCTCATGGTGGCCTGCAGGACTTGAAGGGAGCGGATGAACAGGAGGGGGAACGGCTGTTTGCAAGGGTGGATGGTGATGGGACAAGGGGAATGGTTTAAAGTGAGCCAGGGGAGGTTTGGGTTGGATGTGAGGAGGAAGGTTATTGCACAGGGCGGTGAGGCACTGGCACAGGTTGCCCAAGGAGGCTGTGGATGCCCCAGGATTCAAGGCCAGGCTGGATGTGGCTCTGGGCAGCCTGGGCTGCTGGTTGGTGACCTGCACACAGCAGGGGTTGGGATGAGATGAGAGCTGTGCTCCTTTTCAACACAGGCCATTCTGTGATCCTAGGATCCCGTCCATCCCTGGAGGTGTTCAAGGCCAGGTTGGATGGGGCCCTGGGCAGCCTGGGCTGCTGTGCAGTGGGGAGGTTGGTGGCCCTGCGTGCAACAGGGGGTTGGAGCTCCATCATCCTTGAGGTCCCTTCCAACCCAGGCCGTTCTGTGACTCAGTGCAGCATCCTAGGATCCGGTTCAGTTTGTTGGGCTGCCCAGTGGCTCTGCTCTGCTCTCTGCTCCGTAGCTGTAGGAAATGCTGAGTAAATCCAGCCAGCGTGGCCTCTGCCCAAAATACTGCAGTGTTGGAGGTTTTGCTGGCTTTGTGGTTTGTCAGCTTGAGGGATACAAACTGCAAGAGAGCTCCTGGGGGAGAGAGGTTGGGGCAGATGGGATCATAGAGTGGATGGAATCCCAGCATGGGTTGCACAGGAGCACAGCGCTCATCCAGCTCCAAGCCCTGCTGTGTGCAGGTCACCAAGCAGCAGCCCAGGCTGCCCAGAGCCACATCCAGCCTGGCCTTGAATGCCTGCAGGGCTGGGGCATCCACAGCCTCCTTGGGCAACCTGTGCCAGTGCATCACCAGCCTGTGGGTGAAAAACTTCCTCCTCACATCCAACCCAAACCTCCCCTGTCTCACTTTAAAACCATTCCCCTTGTCCCATCACCGTCCACCCTCACAAACAGCCGTTCCCCCTCCTGTTTATGTGCTCCCTTCAAATATTGGAAGGATGTGTCAAGGAGGTGGGGAAAGGAATGGTGGTGATGAAATCAGACCTTTCTTACGGAGGAGAGCACAGAGAGCAGACCAGGCCAGCCTTCATAGAACCATAGAATGGCCTGGGTTGCACAGGAGCACGATGCTCATCCAGCTCCAAGCCCTGCTGTGTGCAGGTCACCAACCAGCAGCCCAGGCTGCCCAGAGCCACATCCAGCCTGGCCTCCAATGCCTGCAGGGCTGGGGCATCATTTCCACTGGTCTCCACCCAAAGACACGCAGGATTGAAGGTGTGTGAGCTCACTGATGAGTGGCACAGTGACGTCAGGCCTGGAGCAAGCTGAAGCCGCGGTGACCTGAGCAGCAGTAGAGGTAAAGCAAAGACAAAACCAGGCTTCTTTTCCCTTCCCTTGGCAGACAGGAAGGCAGCTCTGGAGGCGGTGATGAAAACGTTGGGACCCGGCTTTGTGGCGGAGTTCAACAAGCACAAATCATCGCAAGCACCCGGGGCGTCGGGCTCGGGGAAGTCAGCGCCCAGCCATGGCGCTGCAGGGAAGCTGCCTGCAAACGGGAAGAAAAGCCCCAAAACGAGCCCCGCTGCCAAGGCTGTGAAGAAGGACGCGGTTCCTCTGCCTGCGTCCGGCTCCTCTCCTCAGAGCGACGAGTTGCCCCAAGAGCAGGAGGTGGAAGAGGAGGAGGAGGACTCAGGCGCTGGGCCCAGCAGGCCTCGAGCTGCTCCGTATAACCGGGTGATTATCGACGCTGCTGATGACGGGGAGGATTGGCTGACAGCCTGAAGGCCGTGCTGCCGTGCAGCGAGAGCTGGACAGGCTGAGAGCTGGGCAGGAAGAAACCACATGAGGTTGAACAACAGCAAGTGTGGAGTCTTGCATGTGGGGAGGAATAAGGATGGGGGATGAGCTGCTGGAGGGGAGAGGGAGCTGGGGAACAACAGGTTGCCATGAGGCAGCAGGGTGCCCTGGTGGCCAAAATGGCATCCTGGCGTGCATTGCACAGAGCGTGGCCAGCAGGTGGAGGGAGGCGATGCTCCCCCTCTGCTCTGCCCTGCTGAGGCCTCATCTGGAGCACTGCGTGCAGCTCTGGGCTGCCCAGCACAAAACAGACAGGGAGCTGTTGGGAAGAGTCCAGCGCAGGGCAGCAAGATGGAGAGCGGCCTGGAGCATCTCTGCTATGGAGAAAGGCTGAGCTGCGTCTGTTCAGCCTTGAGAAAAGAAGGCTGAGAGGGGAGCTGAGGCAGGGCTGTGAATATCTGAGGTGTGGGGGCAGCACGGCGAGGCCGGACTCTGTTCAGTGGGGAGTGGAGGCAGGAGGAGGGGAAACGGCCGGGAACTGAGCATAGGAAGTTGTGCAGCACTGTGCGAAGGAACGGCTGTGCAGGGAGGGGAGGAGCGATGGAACAGGGAGGGGGGGAGTCTGTGGGTCCCAACGGGTCTCTATGGGTCCCAGTGGGTCTCTATGGGTCCCAACGTGTCCCTATGGGTCCCAACGTGTCCCTATGGGTCCCAACGTGTCTCTGTGGGTCCCAACGTGTCTCTATGTGTCCCAACATGTCTCTATGGGTCCCAATGGGTCCCAACGTGTCTCTATGGGTCCCAATGTTTCTCTATGGGTCCCAGAGTGTCTCTATGGGTCCCAACATGTCTCTATGGGTCCCAATGGGTCCCAACGTGTCTCTGAGGGTCCCAACATGTCTCTATGGGTCCTAGAGTGTCTCTATGGGTCCCAATAGGTCCCAACGTGTCCCTATGGGTCCCAACGCGTCTCTGTGGGTCCCAACGTGTCTCTGTGGGTCCCAACGTGTCTCTATGGGTCCCAATGGATCCCAATGCATCTCAATGTGTCTCTATGGATCTCAGTGTGTCTCCATGGGTCCCTATGGGTCCCAACGTGTCCCTATGGGTCCCAACGTGTCTCTATGGGTCCCAACGTGTCTCTATGGGTCCCAATGGGTCCCAATGTATCTCTATGGGTCCCAATGTATCTCTATGGGTCCCAATGTGTCTCTATGGGTCCCAATGGGTCCCAACGTGTCTCTATGGGTCCCAACGGGTCCCAACATGTCTCTATGGGTCCCAACATGTCTCTATGGGTCCCAATGGGTCCCAATGTGTCTCTATGGGTCCCAGAGTGTCTCTATGGGTCCCAACATGTCTCTATGGGTCCCAATGGGTCCCAATGTGTCTCTATGGGTCCCAATGTGTCTCTATGGGTCCCAACATGTCTCTATGGGTCCCAACGTGTCTCTATGCGTCCCAACATGTCTCTATGGGTCCCAATGGGTCCCAACGTGTCTCTATGGGTCCCACTGTTCACTGGAACAGGCTGCCCATGGAGGTGGTGGAGTCTCCTGCTCTGGAGATGTTCCAGACCTGCCTGGATGCCGAGCTGTGCGACCTGCTGTAGGGAACCTGCTTTGGCAGGGGGTTGTTCTCCATGAATCCCTTCCAACCCCTACAATCCTGTGATGCTGTCACATCCTCCCCTGCCATTCCTAGTAGTTCCTGGCCTGTGATGCCGGGAGATGGCACTGAAAGGAGGGCTGTGGGGCTGTGCTGCTCCTCACCCACACAGCCCAGGCAGCTGGGATGGCAGGGATGCTTGGCTGTGGTTCAGCAGTGCTGCTACTGCAGGCCCCGTGGTGCTGCCCTGCGGTGCTGCATTCCGGCAGCTGAGTGAGCTCCCTTCCGGGTGCTCTGCGTGCTTGGGGCTCAGCAAGCTGTGTGGCAGGCCGTGTGCTGCCTCTTGTCGGAATAGATGGGGAAGCTGCTGATGTCTGGCTTTGTCTTTAACGTGCAGCTGTTGAGAGAGGAGCTGCTGAACTGTGGGACGGTCCTGCAGATCTCCAACTTACCGGACGACGGCTTCTCAGACCAGGACATCAAAAAGATCGTGCAGCCCTTCGGCAAAGTCAGCGACCTGATCGTGCTGCGCTCCAGGAACAAGGTCAGTTCCCTCCGATGGGACGGGCGGACACTGAGCACCTCTGTGGGGATCCTCGGCTCGTCCTTGGGCACAACAGCTCACAGCAGTCTGAGATGTGGGCCAGCGGCCATTTTAGCCTGCAGGAAGCTGAGTTTCCCCCAGGGCTCGGTGCCGGGGCCCAGCCTGTTTAATATCCGCATTGATGAGCTGGGAGGGCAGTGAGGGCAGCCTCAGCAAGTCTGCAGGTGACACCAAGCTGGGAGGTGGTGTGGATCTGCGTGAGGGCAGGGAGGCCCTGCACAGGGATCTGGATCAGCTGCAGCGCTGCGCCCAGGTGAAGGGGATGAGGCGCAACAAGGCCAGGTGCCGAGTCCTGTTTTGGGCACAGCGACCCCATGCAGCGCCGTGGGCTTGGGATGAGCGGCTGTGAGCGTGAAAGGAAAGGGAGCTGGGGCTGTTGGTTGGTGCTGGGCTGAACGCGAGCCCACAGGGGGCCCAGGGGGCCAAGAGGGCCGGCGGCAGCCTGGCCTGCATGAGGAATGGCCAGCAGAGCAGGGAGGGGAGCATCCCCTGCACTCAGCTCTGCGAGGCCGCAGCTCGAGGGCTGCGTTCAGATTGGGGCTCCTCACCGCAGGAAAGACGTGGAGGCCCTGCAGCGTGCAGAGAAGGGCAGCGAGATGGGGAGGGGTGTGGAGCACAGGGCTGCTGAGGAGCTGAGGGAGCTGGGAGCGTTGAGGGTGAGAAGAGGAGCTGAGGGGAGACCTGGCTGCACTCTGCCACCTCCCGAAGGGGGGCTGCGATCAGGAGGGCTTTGGCCTCTTGTCCCAGGCAACAAACAGGAGCCGAGGAAACGGCCGCAAGTTGTGCCAGAGGAGGTTTGGGTCGGACATAAGGCAGAACTGCTGCTCTCAGTGCTCAGGCCCTGCAATGGCTGCCCAGGAGGTGGGGGAGGCGCCGTCCCTGGCAGCGTTCAGGAGGCGCCTGGCTGAGGAGCTGCGTGCTGTGCTTTGCTGCTGGTGGCACTGATAGCAATGGGACGGGGGTTGGACTGCATGATTTATGGGTCGCTTCCAACCTCGTGATGCTGTGATTCCCTGTAGACCCTCAGAAGCGGGCCGTGTGGTCGCGGCTTGGCTGGGGCCGTGCGCTGCATTGCTGTGCGCTGCTGGGCTGCTTCATCCAGGCTTCAGCAGCGAACACAGGGAGGAATGGGGGCTGTTGTGAGGGGGTCCCTCACAGAGCTGCAGCACTGGAGGCTGAAGGCGCCTTTGTTTCAGGCCTACCTGGAAATGAACTACAAGGAGGCGGTGATAGCAGCTGTGAAATACGGTGAGACTGTGCCGGTGCTGGTGAACGGGAAGCAGGTGAAGATCAGCGTGGCAGAGAAGCCCAAAGCGTCTCCCAGCCAGGTAACGGCGCTGCTGAGCGCTGCGAGCGCTTGCCTTGCTATTGCCATCCACAAACTGATCTGCACAAGGAAAACAGTGATTTTAGCACTTGTGTTTTACGTCCCTTCGTTCCGACAGCGGGCTGGGATGGACAGGAAGCCCCTCTCTCAAATCCCAATTGCAGCTTGATGTTTTTCTCAGCTGCGTTGCCAGCTGCTGTAGCTGAGCATCAGAGGAGCACGCTGTGTGCATGGGGCACTGACGTTCCTCCTCCTGCCTCCTCTAGGCCAAAACAAGCGTCAAAAAGAAGCCTCGGATCACCAAGAAAGTGGCCCCAAGCACCAGGTGAGTCCTGCCCTTCCCTCCAGCCGTGTCCCTGCTCCTTAGAGCCGTTGCAAACCGAATGCGTTCCTTTCCTTGTTGCCATTTGCTGCTTTGGGAACGCGTTCAGCTGCTCGCATTCATCACTTGTATTTGAAACTCAGTTTCCCTTGTTTTTTCCCCCTCCTGCTCTTAATAGGAAACACCCAACCACCTCCACCGCCGCCACCAGGACCCCAAGAACGATTGCAGGTGAGGTTTTGTCCACCTCTCGTCTGCCACCCCCCCGCTTTGCCTCCTCAGTTTGTTCCCATCTCTCTGGTTTTGTGCGAGTGCCTTTGGCAGCACTGAGAGCCGTGCTGGGGCTCCGTCCCAGTGCCTTCCTGGGGTGGAACCCTGCCGTATTGACTGCAGGCTCCAAGCCTCAAAAGCCCTCGGGCACCAACAGGAGATGCAGGAATGGGTCAGGAATTGATTTCCTGCTGTAGGAGCCTGCTTTTCAGCGGGGTTGGACCCGATGATCTCTGAGCTCCCTTCCAACCCCCGCAGTTCTGTGATGCTGCGATCTGTGCCTGCACTCTGCAGCTCTCACTGCTTGTCTGCCTGTGGTAACACGCAGCACTTCATCCTCCATCACCGACTTCACGGTCCTGGAAGGAGGAGGAGGCGAAGCTTCTGCAGCACTTTGGTCAGCAGGAGCTGAGTTGAGCTGAGCACCGAAGCCGCTGCGCTTCTGGCTTTCCTTCGTGGCCGCTGTTGGTTGCCATGCAGGCTCGGCTTCGGTGCTTTTTGGTCGTGGCTGCTGCAGATGGAGCTCTTCTCTGTGCCTTTCCTGGTTTGAATGTTCACCAATGGACGAGGTGAGAGGTAAAGCGTTCCTGCTGACCCGTGGCTGGATGTTCCACCTAGGCAAAAAGGAGAAAACCAAGAAGCCCCTGGGGACCAAAGAGAGTAAACCTGGGAAGCCTTCAGACACTGCAGGTGAGACAGGAGGGCGCAGGGCGCTGGGGGCTGGGGGGGGGGGTGCTGGTTGTGGGGGCTCCTCCTGTGCAGCAGCGAGTGGGGATTTGCAGCAGGGCGTCTCCAGAGGGATTCAGACAGGCTGAACCGCTGGGCTGAGGTGAACGGGATGAGGTGCAACAAGGCCAAGTGTCGGGTCCTCCGTTTTGGCCACAACAACCCCATGCAGCGTTACAGGCTGGGGGATGAGTGGCTGTGAGTGTGAAGAAGAGAAGGACCTGGGGCTGTTGGTTGGTGCTGGGCTGAATGCGAGCCCACAGGGTGCCCAGGTGGCCAAGGGGGCCAACAGCATCCTGGCCTGCATGAGGAATGGCCAGCAGAGCAGGGAGGGGAGCATCCCCTGCACTCAGCTCTGTGAGGCCGCAGCTCGAGGGCTGCATTCAGTTTTGGGCCCCTCACTACAGGAAAGATGTTGAGGCCCTGCAGTGTGTGCAGAGAAGGGCAGCAAAATGGGGAGGGGTGTGGAGCACAAAGATGAGGAGAGGCTGAAGGAGCTGGGGTTGTGCAGTGTGGAGAAGAGGAGCTCAGGGGAGGCCTCACTGCACCGTGCAACTGCATGAAGGGAGGCTGTGGGGAAGAGGGATGTGGCCTCTTCTCCCAGGCAACGAGCAGCACGTGGGGCAATGGCTGCAAGTTGTAGCAGAGGAGGTTCAGGTTGGACATAAGGAAGAACTTCTCTCAGTGCTCAGGCACTGCAATGGCTGCCCAGGGAGGTGGTGGAGTCACCATCTCTGGCAGCGTTCAAGAGGGGCCTGGATGAGGAGCTGTGTGATGTGGTTTAGTGCTGGTGGTGGCAATGGTGATGAGGAGATGGTTGGACTGGATGATCTATAGGTCGTTTCCAACCTTGTGATTCTTGTCATTCTTGTGATCTCCAGCGCCGGGCTCACAGCTCTGCTCGGCTCTGTGCAGTGCACGGAACTGAAGAACCCTTTCTATCTGCCTCTTCCTTCCAGATCCATCGGAAGAAAGTGAATCCAAAGAGCTTCAGAGCTCACCAGAAAGCGGGATGGCAGCTGGGGAAGGAGAGGTGGCCGAGCCGCGCGGCGCCGCAGGAGGGGACGGCGGCGTCACAGAGCCCGCGAAGGCAGGAGAGGCTCAGTGCAAAGCAGCGGGCAGCGCTGCGCCCTTACCGGGTAATCCTGCTGTTAGAGCTGTGCTGCTCTCGCTGAACTGCAATGCCGTGACATCTTGGGGTTTCATTTTGCTGTGCTTTTGTAGAGAAAGCTGCCCGGGTGCTGCAGGCGGCGCCCGTGGGCTCGGATGGGCAGAAGGAAGCTTTACGTGATGGAGGTGAGCTGCAAACTGACACGGTTCTGTCTCTTTTCTGCCCCAAATCTCTCTGCTGTGGTGAATTTAAACTGGCACAACTTGGAGGGGTTTCTTTGGTCTGCCTTAAGGCTGTCCTTCCCGAGAGCTCGTGCACGTGGCTCTCTTGCTTTTCCCCACAACAGCAGTGATGAAATGTTGAGGATGGCACCAGACGCCCTTCAGGCTCTGCCGCAGCTGCAGAGCTGTGCACAGCTGCTGAAGTGACGGCCCTGTCCTGTTTGTTTTGTTAAATAGAAGCTTCTGCAGTGACGGTGAAGAGCGAAGAAGCAGCGGAGCTGGGCAGCAAGGTCAGAGCGATGGGGCTTCGTTCTGGGGCTGCTGTGAGAGCAGGCCTGGGGCTGCTTCATAGAGTCATAGAGAACCCTGGAATCACCCAGGCTGGAAAAGACCTCCAAGCTCCCCCAGTCCCACCGCTCCCCCATCACCAACAGCTCCCACTGCACCCCGTCCCTCAGCACAGCACCCAGCCTTGCCTTCGACACCCCCAGGCTCGCTGCCTCCCCCACCTCCCTGGGCATCCATTGCAGTGCTGCCCACCTTGCTGACCAGCGATTCTTCCTCACGCCCAGCCTCAATCTCCCCTGCCGCAGCTTGAAGCCGTTCCCTCTGCTCCCATCGCTGATGGCACAGAGCAGAGGCCGCCCCCAGCTCCCTGCAGCCTCCCTTCAGCAGCCATAGAGAGCAGTGAGCTCTGCCCTCAGCTCCTCTTCTCACACTGAACGTTCCCAGCTCCTGCAGCCTCTCCTCAGCCCTGTGCTCCAGACCCCTCGCCATTTCATTGCCCTCCTTTGACCACGTTCCAGGCCCTCCATGTCTTTCTTGCAGTGAGGGGCCAAAACTGCACACCTCTGGTTGAGATGCGCTGCTGATCTCTGGTGAGGAAGGGCAGCTTGCACAGAATCACAAGGTTGGAAACGAGCTGCAAGAGCATCCAGTCCAACCCCCGTCCCATTGCTATCAGTGCCACCAGCAGCAAAGCACAGCACGCAGCTCCTCAGCCAGGCGCCTCCTGAACGCTGCCAGGGACGGCGCCTCCCCCACCTCCTGGGCAGCCATTGCAGGGCCTGAGCACTGAGAGCAGCAGTTCTGCCTTATGTCCGACCCAAACCTCCTCTGGCACAACTTGCGGCCGTTTCCTCGGCTCCTGTTTGTTGCCTGGGACAAGAGGCCAAAGCCCTCCTGATCGCAGCCCCCCTTCGGGAGGTGGCAGAGTGCAGCCAGGTCTCCCCTCAGCTCCTCTTCTCACCCTCAACGCTCCCAGCTCCCTCAGCTCCTCAGCAGCCCTGTGCTCCACACCCCTCCCCATCTCGCTGCCCTTCTCTGCACGCTGTGGGGCCTCCACGTCTTTCCTGCGGTGAGGAGCCCCAATCTGAACGCAGCCCTCGAGCTGCGGCCTCGCAGAGCTGAGTGCAGGGGATGCTCCCCTCCCTGCTCTGCTGGCCATTTCTCATGCAGGCCAGGCTGCCGCCGGCCCTCTTGGCCCCCTGGGCCCCCTGTGGGCTCGCGTTCAGCCCAGCACCAACCAACAGCCCCAGCTCCCTTTCCTTTCGCGCTCGCAGCCGCTCATCCCAAGCCCACGGCGCTGCATGGGGTCGCTGTGCCCAAAACAGGACTCGGCACCTGGCCTTGTTGCGCCTCATCCCCTTCACCTGGGCGCAGCGCTGCAGCTGATCCAGATCCCTGCGCAGGGCCTCCCTGCCCTCATGCAGATCCACACCACCTCCCAGCTTGGTGTCACCTGCAGACCTACTCAGGATATAAGTTTCTTCCTGCTGCCTGCACTTGCTCACATGCCTGCCCTTTCCCAGCGAGGCTGTGATGCCCCAGCCCTGCAGGCATTCAGAACCAGGCTGGATGTGGCTCTGGGCAGCCTGGGCTGCTGCACAACCTGCACACAGCAGGTTGGAGCTGGATGTGCGCTGTGCTCCTTTGCAACCCAGGCCGTGCTGGGATCCTTGCCCTCGTTCTGCCCAGCTCAGCGCCTTTCCAGCAGCTTCCAGCCGGGCTGCAGGAGGAGCGGTGATGCTTGGCTTTGTTTGCAGGAAGCTGATGACGTGTGCGTGGTTGTGGTTTCAAACCTGCCTGAGAAAGGATGTTCAGTGGAGGAAGTTTCCAACCTGGCCAAGCCGTTCGGGGGGCTGAGAGATGTGTTAATTGTGTCGTCTCATAAGAAGGTACGGCGCTCAGCTGGGCGTCCCTCCTGACCAGCAGCGCCTTTAGTGCACGTCATGTGGCCAGCGGTGGGGCCTGGAGGTGGCCCTGCTGAAAGGCAGCCCCTGCTCACGGCGCTGCTCTCCTCCTTTCCAAAGGCGTACCTTGAACTCAGCAGAAAGCCGGCAGAATCCATGGTGAAGTTCTACACCTGCTTTCCCATGACGCTGGATGGGAACCAGCTGGGCATCGCTATGGCGCCTCAGCACAGCAGTGTGAAAGATGAAGTAGGTGCTGGTGCTGGGTGCTGGGTGGTGGGTGGTGGGTGGTGGGTGGTGGATGATGGGTGCTGGGTGCTGGGCGCTGGGTGCTGGGTGGTGGATGATGGGTGCTGGGTGCTGGTGCTGGGTGGTGGGTGGTGGATGATGGGTGCTGGGTGCTGGGTGGTGGGTGGTGGATGATGGGTGCTGGGTGCTGGGCGCTGGGTGCTGGGTGGTAGATGATGGGTGCTGGGTGCTGGTGCTGGGTGGTGGGTGGTGGGTGGTGGGATGCTGGGTGCCTGGTGCTGGGTGCTGGATGCCGAGTGCTGGGTGCTGGGTGCTGGGTGCTGGGTGTTGAGTGCTGGGTGCTGGGTGTTGAGTGCTGGGTGCTGGGTGTTGAGTGCTGGGTGCTGGGTGCTGGGTGCTGGGTGCTGGGTGCTGGATGCTGGGATGCTGGGTGCTGGGTGCTGGATGCTGGATGCTGGGTGCTGGATGCTGGGCGCTGGATGCTGGATGCTGGGCGCTGGATGCTGGATGCTGGGCGCTGGGTGCTGGATGCTGGGCGCTGGGTGCTGGATGCTGGGATGCTGGATGCTGGAATGCTGGATGCTGGATGCTGGGTGTTGAGTGCTGGGTGCTGGATGCTGGATGCTGGGTGCTGGGATGCTGGGTGCTGGATGCTGGGATGCTGGGATGCTGGGGTGCTGGGATGCTGGGGTGCTGGGATGCTGGGGTGCTGGGTGCTGGGTGCTGGGTGCTGGGTGCTGGGACGCTGGGGTGCTGGGGTGCTAGGATGCTGGGTGCTGGGTGCTGGGATGCTGGGTGCTGGTTCTGGGTGCTGGGATGCTGGGTGCCGGGTGCTGGTGCTGGGTGCTGGGCGCTGTTCAGTGTCTTTTTCAGTCCCTGTGTCCTGATGTTAACACGACGTGTCAGTGTCACAGATGCACATTATGCTCATGCTATTAATTAAGCAGGCAGGCAGATGGCATTGGCATCAGGCTGTGTGGCTGCTGGCTGCTGCTGGTGAAGCTGTGTTTTGCAGTTTAAATCTTACAGCTTTTCCTTCCTCCCCTTCCAGGAAGCGATATTCACTGCTATCATCAAAGACTCCGACCCTAAGGTGAGTTGCTGCCAGTCCAGCTGTAAAGGTGCACTCATAGCATCACAGCATCACGAGGTTGGAAGCGACCCATAAATCATGCAGTCCAACCCCCGTCCCATTGCTATCAGTGCCACCAGCAGCAAAGCACAGCACGCAGCTCCTCAGCCAGGCGCCTCCTGAACGCTGCCAGGGACGGCGCCTCCCCCACCTCCTGGGCAGCCATTGCAGGGCCTGAGCACTGAGAGCAGCAGTTCTGCCTTATGTCCGACCCAAACCTCCTCTGGCACAACTTGCGGCCGTTTCCTCGGCTCCTGTTTGTTGCCTGGGACAAGAGGCCAAAGCCCTCCTGATCGCAGCCCCCCTTCGGGAGGTGGCAGAGTGCAGCCAGGTCTCCCCTCAGCTCCTCTTCTCACCCTCAACGCTCCCAGCTCCCTCAGCTCCTCAGCAGCCCTGTGCTCCACACCCCTCCCCATCTCGCTGCCCTTCTCTGCACGCTGCAGGGCCTCCACGTCTTTCCTGCGGTGAGGAGCCCCAATCTGAACGCAGCCCTCGAGCTGCGGCCTCGCAGAGCTGAGTGCAGGGGATGCTCCCCTCCCTGCTCTGCTGGCCATTCCTCATGCAGGCCAGGCTGCCGCCGGCCCTCTTGGCCCCCTGGGCCCCCTGTGGGCTCGCGTTCAGCCCAGCACCAACCAACAGCCCCAGCTCCCTTTCCTTTCACGCTCGCAGCCGCTCATCCCAAGCCCACGGCGCTGCATGGGGTCGCTGTGCCCAAAACAGGACTCGGCACCTGGCCTTGTTGCGCCTCATCCCCTTCACCTGGGCGCAGCGCTGCAGCTGATCCAGATCCCTGTGCAGGGCCTCCCTGCCCTCACGCAGATCCACACCACCTCCCAGCTTGGTGTCACCTGCAGACTTGCTGAGGCTGCCCTCACTGCCCTCCCAGCTCATCAATGCGGATATTAAACAGGCTGGGCCCCGGCACCGAGCCCTGGGGGAAACTCAGCTTCCTGCAGGCTGAAATGGCCGCTGGCCCACATCTCAGACTGCTCTGGAACGAAACGTTTCTCTATGCTTTCATGGGCCAACTGAAGGGGCGAACGCTGGCTGCAGTGCTGAGCGATGGATGCTTTCCACGCTGCCCTGCTCACCTGGCCCTGCAGCACCGCTGAGCTTGAGGCCGCCCTTCCCTCGTCTTTAGGTGAACGCTGAGACGCTGCAGCAGCACTTTGTGCACCTGGGGAATTTACCAGAGGAAGGGTACAGAGAATTCGAGGTGGTTTGCGTGGGGCTGCGCTTCGGGAAGGTCGATCATTACGTTGTGCTGAAGAACAGGAACAAGGTGAGCGCTTCGCTGGGCCGTGCAGCAGCACCTCACAGCAAAAACACGGGGCTTTTCTTCTCACTGCCTGCAATGCTTGGCTGATGACGGATGCAGGAAGGTCGTCACGGCTGCTGGGTGCTTCTTTTATTGGTCAGATGTTTCATAGTAGAGCTGCAAAACTCTGAGGGTCGCAGGGTGAGGAGGTCAGGGCTCTGCAGTGCGAGCGCAAGCTGCATTAATGACTGATTTTCACAGCCGTGCCCTTCAGCTGCCCTGCACTACAGAAATAAGGTGAAAGAACTCGATTTGAAGCCGTCTTCCTTCGTTCCAGGCAATCCTGCAGCTGGAGAGTCCCAAGGCTGCCAGGTCCATGTTCTGCTTCCTGAACCAGTACTCGTACGCCATGGGGGCGCACACCCTGACCTGCGCCCTGTCCCCCGGCAGGCAGCAGGCCGACGTAAGCTTCCTTCTCTCCTTATTCCCTTGCGGTGGCACAGAGCAGCCTTTCCCCTAACGGCAGTCTGTGGTTGGTTTTGCACGGAGCCTTTGCTGCTGTGGGATGACGGGGGAGCTGGGTCACAGCCTCTGTTAAGGACGCGGCGCTGCGGGCTTGGCTGCCTGCCTGTCTCTGTTCCACAAACATTTGTTGGGTCTCTTTGATCGATGGAAGAGGGGAGAGGGGAAGAGAGCAGGACAGCACCTCCTTACTGCAGGTTAGAAAGGGATCGATGGCTGGAAGAATGGAGAAGCTCTGCTGCTGCTTGATTTGTCTTCCAGCACTGTGGCTACGTTTGCTCCACAGAATCACAGAATCACCCGGGTTGGAAGGGACCTCAAGGATCACGCAGTTCCAACCCCCTGCCCAGCAGGGCCACCAAACATCCACATTCACATCAGGTTGCCCAGGACCCCGTCCAACCTGGCCTTGAACACGGCCAAGGACGGGGCATCACAGCCTCCCTGGGCAGCCCGTTCCAGGCCCTAACCGCTCTCCTTGGGAAGAACTTCCCCCTAACATCCAACCTCAATCTTCCCTCCCTCAACTTGGATGGGTTCCTATGGGTTCCTATGGGTCCCCTTGGTTCCTATGGGGCTCTGTGGGTTCCTATGGCTTCCTATGGGTCCCCTTGGTTCCTATGGGGCTCTGTGGGTTCCTATGGGTTCCTATGGGTTCTATGGGTCCCCTTGGTTCCTATGGGGCTCTATGGGTCCCCTTGGTTCCTATGGGTTCTATGGGTTCCCATGGGTTCCTATGGGGCTCTATGGGTTCCTATGGGGCTCTATGGGTCCTCTTGGTTCCTATGGGTTCACAGAATCAGAATCACAGAATCACAGAATCACCCGGGTTGGAAGGGACCTCAAGGATCACGCAGTTCCAACCCCCTGCCCAGCAGGGCCACCAAACATCCACATTCACATCAGGTTGCCCAGGACCCCGTCCAACCTGGCCTTGAACACGGCCAAGGACGGGGCATCCACAACCTCCCTGGGCAGCCCGTTCCAGGCCCTAACCGCTCTCCTTGGGAAGAACTTCCCCCTAACATCCAACCTCAATCTTCCCTCCCTCAACTTGCACCCATTTCCCCTCGTCCTGCTGTTGTCAGCCCTTCTGAAGAGTTGACTCCCCTCCTGGCTGTAGGTTCCCTTCAGGTATTGATAGGCTGCACTGAGGTCACCCCGCAGCTTCTCTTCTCCAGGCTGAACAAAGCCCAACTCCCTCAGCCTGTCCTCATAGGGGAGGTGCTGCAGCCCCCTGCTCATCTCAGTCGCCCTCCTCTGGACCCTTTCCAACATCTCAATGTCTTTCTTGTCCTGAGGGCTCCACACCTGGACACAGGACTCCAGATGGGGCCTCACAAGAGCCGAGCAGAGAGGGACGATCACCTCCCTGTCCCTGCTGACCACCCCTCTCCTGATGGAGCCCAGGATCCCATTTGCCTTTCGAGCTGCCAGAGCGCACTGCTGCCTCATGTTCAGTCTCTCGTCCATCAGGACCCCCAGGTCCTTCTCTGCCGAGCTGCTCTCAAGGCCCACTCCTCCCAGCCTCTACGGGTGCCTGGGGTTCTTCCGGCCCCAATGCAAAGCCTTGCACTTTGCCGTGTTGAACCTCATTAGGTTCACCCGAGCCCAGCCCTCCAGCCTGTCGAGGTCCCTCTGAAGCTCCCTTTGCTTCAAGGCTCGGCTGCTCTGTCAGCATCACCCGTGGTTCAGTTCCTCCAATGGATGAATTTCTCTCTGTAAACAGAGCAGTGATGCTTTATTTCACACACAGGCTGGTGAGGCACTGGCACAGGTTGCCCAAGGAGGCTGTGATGCCCCATCCCTGCAGGCATTCAAAGCCAGGCTGGATGTGGCTCTGGGCAGCCTGGGCTGCTGGTTGGTGACCTGCACACAGCAGGGCTTGGATGAGATGAGAGCTGTGCTCCTTTGCAACACAGGCCGTGCTGTGATGCCCATCTGTGTGGTCGGAGCTCAGCTGGCGGTGGCACAGCCTGCAGAACGCTGTTAGGAAAGAAATCTCAGTGCTCTTTTCACCATCACTTGGCCTCGTGCTACAAGCACTGTGAAGCTGGGCTGGGTGCTGGTATACTTTACAAAGGTATTTCATTTTAGCTAGTTCTGCATGGCAGGAAACAGAGCCAGAGTTGTAAAGCCCATCTTCCTACCCAGAGCCACCTCAGAAGGTGAGGCAGTAAAAGCACAGCGATGCGCTGCTCCTGTTGGCATCAGTGAGGCCACATCTCGAGGGCTGTGTGCAGTTTTGGGCCCCTCGCTGCAAGAAGGACATTGAGGGCCTGGAATGTGGTCAAAGGAGGGCAATGAAATGGTGAGGGGTCTGGAGCACAGGGCTGAGGAGAGGCTGAACGAGCTGGGAACGTTCAGCATGGAGAAGAGGAGCTGAGGGCAGAGCTCACTGCTCTCTATGGCTGCTGAAGGGAGGCTGCAGGGAGCTGGGGGCGGCCTCTGCTCTGTGCCATCAGCGATGGGAGCAGAGGGAACGGCTTCAAGCTGCGGCAGGGGAGATTGAGGCTGGGCGTGAGGAAGAATCGCTGGTCAGCAAGGTGGGCAGCACTGCAATGGATGCCCAGGGAGGTGGGGGAGGCAGCGAGCCTGGGGGTGTCGAAGGCAAGGCTGGGTGCTGTGCTGAGGGACGGGGTGCAGTGGGAGCTGTTGGTGATGGGGGAACGGTGGGACTGGGGGAGCTTGGAGGTCTTTTCCAACCTGGGTGATTCCAGGGTTCTATGATTCCATGTTCAGCAGCACCTCCTGCGCTCTGGGTTGTAGAGCAGCGTGGGCCGGGGCTGCGGCTGCTCTGCTGCGCTGGTTTTTACTTTGACTTTGACTTTTCAGCCTGAAGCTGTGAAAAAAGAAGTGAAGAAGGAGGAGGCGAACAGAGGAAGGTGAGCTTTGCAGGGGGTGGTTGTCCCAAATGGCCTGGATGGGATGGGATGGGATGAGAGGAGATGGGATGGGATGAGATGGGATGGGATGAGATGAGATGAGATTGGATGAGACGAGATGAGATGGGATGGAATGAGATGAGATGGGATGGGATGAGATGAGATGGGATGAGATGGGATGGGATGGGATGAGATGAGATGGGATGAGATGAGATGAGATGAGATGGGATGGGATGAGATGAGATGGGATGGGATGAGATGGGATGGGATGGGATGAGATGAGATGGGATGGGATGAGATGAGATGGGATGGGATGAGATGGGATGGGATGGGATGAGATGGGATGGGATGGGATGGGATGAGATGAGATGAGATGGGATGGGATGGGATGAGATGGGATGGGATGAGATGGGATGGGATGAGATGGGATGGGATGAGATGAGATGGGATGGGATGGGATGAGATGGGATGGGATGAGATGGGATGGGATGGGATGGGATGGGATGAGATGGGATGAGATGGGATGAGATGGGATGGGATGAGATGAGATGGGATGGGATGAGATGAGATGGGATGGGATGAGATGACATGGGATGAGATGAGATGGGATGAGATGGGATGGGATGAGATGGGATGAGATGGGATGGGATGAGATGGGATGGGATGAGATGAGATGGGATGGGATGAGATGAGATGGGATGGGATGAGATGGGATGGGATGAGATGGGATGGGATGAGATGGGATGGGATGGGATGAGATGGGATGGGATGGGATGAGATGGGATGGGATGAGATGGGATGGGATGAGATGGGATGGGATGAGATGGGATGGGATGAGATGGGATGGGATGAGATGGGATGGGATGGGATGAGATGAGATGGGATGAGATGAGATGAGATGGGATGAGATGGGATGAGATGAGATGGGATGGGATGGGATGGGATGGGATGAGATGGGATGGGATGGGATGAGATGAGATGGGATGAGATGAGATGGGATGGGATGAGATGGGATGGGATGAGATGGGATGGGATGAGATGAGATGAGATGGGATGGGATGAGATGGGATGGGATGAGATGGGATGAGATGAGATGAGATGAGATGAGATGGGATGGGATGAGATGAGATGAGATGAGATGGGATGGGATGGGATGAGATGGGATGAGATGGGATGGGATGAGATGAGATGAGATGAGATGGGATGGGATGGGATGAGATGGGATGAGATGGGATGGGATGAGATGGGATGGGATGGGATGAGATGAGATGGGATGAGATGGGATGGGATGAGATGGGATGGGATGAGATGGGATGGGATGAGATGAGATGAGATGGGATGGGATGAGATGGGATGGGATGAGATGGGATGGGATGAGATGAGATGAGATGAGATGAGATGAGATGGGATGGGATGAGATGAGATGAGATGAGATGGGATGGGATGGGATGAGATGGGATGGGATGGGATGGGATGGGATGAGATGAGATGGGATGAGATGAGACGGGATGAGATGGGATGAGACGAGATGAGATTGGATGAGACGAGATGAGATTGGATGAGATGGGATGAGATGGGATGGAATGAGATGAGATGAGATGAGATGGGATGAGATGGGATGGGATGAGATGGGATGGGATGAGATGGGATGGGATGAGATGAGATGAGATGAGATGAGATGAGATGAGATGAGATGAGATGAGATGGGATGGGATGGGATGAGATGAGATGAGATGAGATGGGATGGGATGGGATGAGATGGGATGGGATGGGATGGGATGGGATGAGATGAGATGGGATGAGATGAGACGGGATGAGATGGGATGAGACGAGATGAGATTGGATGAGACGAGATGAGATTGGATGAGATGGGATGAGATGGGATGAGATGGGATGGAATGAGATGAGATGAGATGGGATGAGATGAGATGAGATGGGATGAGATGAGATGAGATGAGATGAGATGAGATGAGATGAGATGAGATGAGATGGGATGGGATGAGATGGGATGGGATGAGATGGGATGGGATGAGATGGGATGGGATGGGATGGGATGAGATGAGATGGGATGGGATGAGATGGGATGGGATGAGATGAGATGAGATGGGATGAGATGGGATGAGATGAGATGGGATGGGATGAGATGAGATGGGATGAGAGATGGGATGAGATGAGATGAGATGAGATGAGATGAGATGAGATGAGATGAGATGAGATGGGATGAGATGGGATGGGATGGGATGGGATGAGATGAGATGGGATGACATGAGATGAGATGAGATGAGATGAGATGAGATGAGATGAGATGTGATGAGATGAGATGAGATGAGATGAGATGGATGCCCTGCGAGAAGCGTGCTGGGGAGAGGTGCAGGGAGAGCCCATAGAGCAGCAGTGGGGGAGCTGGGCTGCAGGCAGTGTGCAGAGCTGTGTTAACAACCACGGCCAGGATTTTGCCCCAGGTCCTGGAACACACAGACGCTTCTGGGGGTGAGGAACTGGCTGAGGGCCGTGCCCAGCGGGTCGTGGTGCAGGGATCAAGGCCAGTGCGACCTGTTTACAGTGGGCTCGGTGCTGGGGCCCAGCCTGTTTAATATCCGCACTGATGAGCTGTGAGGGCAGTGAGGGTGGTCTGGAGGTCTGCAGGTGACACCAAGCTGGGAGGTGGTGTGGATCTGCGTGAGGGCTGATGTGTGTTCAGAGCAGGGGCAGCCAGCTTCCCCACAAGAAGCCTGGAGGGGCCAAAGGCCGGGCAGACGGCATCAGCAGCCCTTCCCTCACCTTCCAGCCTGCTCAGCCAGTCGTAGGAAGCCCTCAAACGGAACAGGATTTGTGCTCAGAGCTGCCAAAGCGACGGCAGCAGCTTGTTGGCTGTAGCTGTGCCTGCAGCAGGGCCCCGAGCTGCCGGCTGGGCTCAGAGCAGCACAGAGATGGGGCAGGGGGCTGTGAGTGCAGCATGGGGGGCGAGTTGTGGGGACACAGGCAGGGTTGGGTTTGGCTGCAGGGTTGGGTTTGGCTGCAGGGTTTGGTTTGGCAGCAGGGTTGGGTTTGGCTGCAGGGTTGGGTTTGGCTGCAGGGTTGGGTTTGGCTGCAGGGTTTGGTTTGGCAGCAGGGTTGGGTTTGGCTGCAGGGTTTGGTTTGGCTGCAGGGTTTGGTTTGGCAGCAGGGTTGGGTTTGGCTGCAGGGTTTGGTTTGGCTGCAGGGTTGGGTTTGGCAGCAGGGTTGGGTTTGGCTGCAGGGTTTGGTTTGGCTGCAGGGTTTGGTTTGGCAGCAGGGTTGGGTTTGGCTGCAGGGTTTGGTTTGGCTGCAGGGTTTGGTTTGGCTGCAGGGTTTGGTTTGGCTGCAGGGTTTGGTTTGGCTGCAGGGTTGGGTTTGGCAGCAGGGTTTGGTTTGGCTGCAGGGTTTGGTTTGGCAGCAGGGTTTGGTTTGGCTGCAGGGTTTGGTTTGGCTGCAGGGTTTGGTTTGGCTGCAGGGTTTGGTTTGGCTGCAGGGTTGGGTTTGGCTGCAGGGTTTGGTTTGGCAGCAGGGCTCACACAGAACTGACCAGCCATCTGCCTCCGTGTTTCAGTTGCTTTAACGCTGCTCGGTGGGGCTTCCAAATGCGGCAGGAAGCGGCGCACCAGGAGCTTACTGCTAACTCAGGGATTCTCCAGTAGTTTGATCGCTTCTGTGTTGTTTTCTCCTGTTTGTTTGAATGCATTTAGCTCTGGCTTGAAGAAATACACGGAGGGATCGGGAGCGGTGCAGACGGCAGCTGCTCACCTTGCAGAGGAGCCCAGCGCCATGAAGAAGGAACCCATCTCCATCCCTGCTGTCGAGGACGAGCTGCCGGCGGTGAAGACGGAGCCTTCGGAGTCGCATCCGGAAGGAGCACAGAGGGATCCTGGTGCAGGGCTGGCGGAACAAAGCGGCGGGGAGGCGGGGGCTGAACTCGCTGGTGCGCCCATGGGGGCGGCTGGGGCCCAGTTACCCACAGCGAAGGCAGAAGAGAAGCTGCTGCCTCCTCCCAGCATGGGGAAAGAGGAGGTGATCGCGGACGGCGCTGCTTGGAAGCTCCCTGTGCACGCAGTCGGATCCACGGCGCAGAAGGGAGAGGGGCTGGGAGCCGCAGGGCCGGGGGCCGCCGGGGAGCAGCCGGGAGCAGAATCAGGCAGGGCTGCTGCGCCGCTGGCAGCGGGGAGGACATCGGGGGCCGTCCCCAAAGCAGCGCCTGCTGCTGGGCCTGCCCAGATGGGCCCTTGTGTCATCCCACCCAGAAACCCTGGCACAAAGACAGGCGTTGATGAGCCGGTGCAAACGGACCGTGAAAAGCAGGGGGTTCCGACAGCAGAGGTGAATCCTGAGCCTGAGGACGGGGCGGCAGCGGCTGGAGATGGGGCTGGAATGGATGTGGAGGGGAGAGCAGAAGGGGCTGCTGGGGAGGAGGGCTGCAGGCTGAAGTGTGCAGCAGAGGTGGAGAAGAAACGCGAGCGGCACGAGGCTGAGGTTGGGGCTGCCGTGGAAAACGCCGCTAAGAACGGGAAGGAAAAGAAGGGAAGTTGCAGCAAAGCGCCTCAAAGCAAGGAGACGAGGGCAGCAAAAACGAAAGAAGCTGCCAAAGCTTCCAACTCCTCCTCGTCCATCCAGGAGCCTTCCTCCGCTCCTAAAGGAACCATGAAGGCAGCGGCGTCTGCTCCTGATGCGTTGACGCCGGGGGCTGCGGGGCACAGAAGCAAACCTGCCCTGTGCAAAGGAGAGGAGCAGGCAGCTTCCTCCAAAGCCAGGCCCCAGGGAGCAGCAGCGGGGCAGAAGAAGGCAGCGTGGAAAGAGGAAGGCCAGCCCAGAGGCGGCTCTGCCAAGGGAGGCAATGGGAGGAACGCGTCCCAGCAAGAGAAGGACTCCCATGCGGAGCCCAGGCCCGGCTCCAAGCAATCCCAGCAGGGGGAGAGCAGAGCGTCCGGCACGAGGAGAGACGGCAGCACTAAGGTGAGCAGGGCAGGAAGGCTGCTGGCTTGTGTGCAGCATGGGGCCGTGGGGCTGCGTTCCCTTTCCCCATCCTTGCTGTGCTTTGGGCCAGTGGCCGCCTTGGAGTCGCACGGGAGCCGTAAGAAACGAGGGCGAAACGTGGCCCAGGTTTGAAACAGGACAGGCTGGATGGAGCGGCCCTTGAAAGCAGCCCCAGAAGGAGCTGGGGGTCCTGATAGATGAAAAGCTTCATACGAGGCAGCAGTGCAGCTCCTGCAGCTTGGAAAGCAAACGGGATCCTGGGCTCCATCAGCAGAGGGGCGGCCAGCAGGGACAGGGAAACTTCATTTACCATAGAATCATGGAATCTTCTGAGTTGGAAAGGACCTTCAAAGGTCATGTAGTCCAACTCCCCTGCAATAAACAGAGACAGGCACAGTGCTCAGAGCCCCTCCAGCTCGGCCTTAAAAGTCTTCAAGGTCAACGTACCCAGCAGCTCCTGAAGCAATTTGTTCTTGTGCCTCACCACCTTTATTGTAAGCAAACCTCTTCCTTATACCCAACCTAAATCTCTCCTTTCGTTTGAGGCCTTTTCCACTTGTCTTACCACAGCAAACCCTGCTGAAGTCTGGCCCCTTCCTTCTTACAGCCTCTTTTACGTACTGAGAGGCCTCTTGAAGGTCTCCCATGGGCCTTCTCTCTTCCAGGCTGAAAAGCCTCAGCTCCTTCAGCCTGTCCTCATAGGGGGAGCGTTCCTCTCATCAGAGCATTTTTGTGGCCCTCCTATAGATGCACTCCTACAGGTGCACATCTTCACTGTACTGGGGCACCACGGCTCGACCTGGAGCTGAGTTCTCACCAGCAGAGCGAAGCAGCAGAATGGCCTCCTTTGACCTGCTGGTCTTTTGATGCGGCCCAGGATGCTATTGACGTTCAGGGCTGTGAGATCCCATTTCTGCCTCACGCCCAGCTCGCCGTGTACCCCCAAGTACCCCCCAGCAGCCCCAAGCAGGGAGGTGATCGTCCCCCTCTGCTCTGCTCTCGTGATGCCCCCATCTGCAGCACTGCGTCCAAGTGTGGAGCCCGCAGTACAAAAGAGACAGGGAGCTGTTGGAGAGGGGGCAGAGGAGCCACAGAGATGAGCAGGGGCTGCAGCAGCTCCCTATGAAGACAGGCTGAGGGAGCTGGGCTCGTTCAGCACGGAGAGAAGCTGCAGGGTGACCTCAGTGCAGCCTTTCAATACCTGAAGGGAGCCTGCAGACAGGAATCAGCTCTGTGAAAGGGTTGATATGTGTAGAATGAGAGGAAATGGCTTGAAGTTGAGGGAGGGGAGATTGAGGTGGGACATCAGGGGGAAATTCTTTACCCAGAGAGCAGTGAGGGGCTGAACAGCTGCCAGAGAGGCTGTGATGCCCCGTCCATCCCTGGAGGTGTTCAAGGCCAGGCTGGATGGGCAGCCTGGTTCAGCATTACACGTTGGTGGCCCTGCATGCGGCAGGGGGTTGGAGCTTCGTGATCCTTGGGGTCCCTTGCAGCCCTGGCCATGCTGTGATGCTGTGATGCTGTGATTCAACGCTGCTTGGCTGACACGGCTGGAAGGTGCAGGTCTGCACCGCGTGTCGTCTGATGGTTCCGGCTGGGGATCCTCGTCCTGCTGGCTGCGCTGAGCCCTGCGCAGAGCCGGGCTGCTGGAGGGGGTGGCTGAGCTGCGGCTCCGTGCCTGGGCTGCCTGCTGAGCTCCGTTTGCCAAGACGTGGCCAGAAGCTGCACAACCTGGACAGCTTGAAAAAGCAAAGCGAAACAAACAGCGGAATTTCCTTCCGATGAATTTGGAAGTTTGTCTCCTGCTGGTGGTTTGTGGTTTTTACCTGCTTGCGGTTGCTGTCACCGATTTCACGTGGATTCCCTTCTCACCCTGCAGGTTTCCACCGGAGGCAACAGCAGAACGGCCAGAAGCAGCGGCAGCAGCAGCAGCAGCAAGCAGGAGGTGAGGGCTGGGGGGGGGCTGAGCTCCACATGGGGGTCCTGAAGGCTGGTCACCCAGCTGAGATTCACATCTGTGAGAGCTGCAAGAACACGGGTGGCTGCAACACAGCAGGAGAGGCTGCAGGAGCTGGGAACGTTCAGGTTGAGAAGAGGAGCTGAGGGCAGAGCTCACTGCTCTCTATGGCTGCTGAAGGGAGGCTGCAGGGAGCTGGGGGCGGCCTCTGCTCTGTGCCATCAGCGATGGGAGCAGAGGGAACGGCTTCAAGCTGCGGCAGGGGAGATTGAGGCTGGGCGTGAGGAAGAATCGCTGGTCAGCAAGGTGGGCAGCACTGCAATGGATGCCCAGGGAGGTGGGGGAGGCAGCGAGCCTGGGGGTGTCGAAGGCAAGGCTGGGTGCTGTGCTGAGGGACGGGGTGCAGTGGGAGCTGTTGGTGATGGGGGAGCGGTGGGACTGGGGGAGCTTGGAGGTCTTTTCCAACCTGGGTGATTCCAGGGTTCTAAAAAGGACGGGGAGCTGTTGGGAAGAGTCCAGCGCAGGGCAGCAAGATGGAGAGCGGCCTGGAGCATCTCTGCTATGGAGAAAGGCTGAGCTGCGTCTGTTCAGCATGGAGGGAAGGAGGCTGAGAGGGGAGCTGAGCCAGGGCTGTGAATATCTGAGGTGTGGGGGCAGCACGGCGAGGCCGGACTCTGTTCAGTGGGGAGTGGAGACAGGAGGAGGGGAAACGGCCGGGAACTGAGCATAGGAAGTTGTGCAGCACTGTGCGAAGGAACGGCTGTGCAGTGAGGGGAGGAGCGATGGAACAGGGAGGGGGGGTCTGTGGGTCCCAACGGGTCTCTATGGGTCCCAGTGGGTCTCTATGGGTCCCAACGGGTCTCTATGGGTCCCGATGGGTCCCAATGTGTCTCTATGGGTCCCAGTGTGTCTCTATGGGTCCCAAGTGGTCCCAATGCATCTCAATGTGTCTCCATGGGTCCCAACATGTCTCTATGGGTCCCAGTGGGTCTCTATGGGTCCCGATGTGTCTCTATGGGTCCCACTGTGTCTCCATGGGTCCCAGTGTGTCTCTATTGGTCCCAACATGTCTCTATGGGTCCCAACGTGTCTCTATGGGTCCCAATGGGTCTCTGTGGGTCCCAATGTGTCTCTATGGATCCCAACATGTCTCTATGGGTCCCAACGTGTCTCTATGGGTCCCAATGTGTCTCTGTGGGTCCCAATATGTCTCTGTGGGTCCCAACGTGTCTCTATGGGTCCCAGTGTGTCTCTATGGGTCCCAACATGTCTCTATGGGTCCCAACATGTCTCTGTGGGTCCCAACGTGTCTCTATGGGTCCCAATGTGTCTCTATGGGTCCCAACGTGTCTCTATGGGTCCCAACATGTCTCTATGGGTCCCACTGTGTCTCTATGGGTCCCAACGTGTCTCTATGGGTCCCAACGTGTCTCTATGGGTCCCAGTGTGTCTCTGTGGGTCCCAACGTGTCTCTGTGGGTCCCAACGTGTCTCTATGGGTCCCACTGTGTCTCTATGGGTCCCAATATGTCTCTATGGGTCCCAATGTGTCTCTGTGGATCCTAATGTGTCTCTATGGGTCCCAACATGTCTCTATGGGTCCCAACGTGTCTCTATGGGTCCCAATGGGTCTCTGTGGGTCCCAATGTGTCTCTATGGATCCCAACATGTCTCTATGGGTCCCAACGTGTCTCTATGGGTCCCAATGTGTCTCTGTGGGTCCCAATATGTCTCTGTGGGTCCCAGCGTGTCTCTATGGGTCCCAGTGTGTCTCTATGGGTCCCAACATGTCTCTATGGGTCCCAACATGTCTCTGTGGGTCCCAACGTGTCTCTATGGGTCCCACTGTGTCTCTATGGGTCCCAACGTGTCTCTATGGGTCCCAATGTGTCTCTATGGGTCCCAACATGTCTCTATGGGTCCCAACGTGTCTCTGTGGGTCCCAACGTGTCTCTATGGGTCCCACTGTGTCTCTATGGGTCCCAATATGTCTCTATGGGTCCCAATGTGTCTCTGTGGATCCTAATGTGTCTCTATGGGTCCCAACATGTCTCTATGGGTCCCACTGTGTCTCTATGGGTCCCAACGTGTCTCTATGGGTCCCAACGTGTCTCTATGGGTCTGTTCAGCATGGAGTAAAGAAGGCTGAGAGGGGAGCTGATCCAGGGCTGTGAATACCTGAGGTGTGGGGGCATGGTGGTGAGGCCAGGCTCTGTTCAGCAATACATGCAAACAGGGTGAGGGGAAACGGACACAAGCTGCAGCAGAATGGTTCTATGATTCTATTCTATGATTCAAGGAAGGTTGAAGGCTCTTACAAGCAGCTCTGTAGAGCAGGAGGTCAGAACTTCTCCATCCACCTTCCCCTTCCATGCACAGCTGTTTCCCTCTATCAGCCTCCGTTTTGGTGTGAAGATCAGCCCGGGGCTGATGGCTCGGCTCTCAGTGCTTCTGCCTCGGCCTTCAGGTCCTGCCCTAACAGGGCTCTCTCCCTCTTCCTGTGTTGGACACAACGCAGCACTGGGTGGTGGGACAGAAAGTTTAGCAGAAAAATAGAGAATTCCAAATCCTATATGGAAGAAATGCAAGTAGGAACGTGGGGCTGGGGGAGGGAGGGCGCTCAGGAGTTCACTGCATCTCCTACAGGTGGAGGCTGAGCTCTGGGGCATCCGCTTGGTTTCATGGATGATGCTGCTCGTGTCTCCATCCCTTCCTCCATCCCTCCCACATGGGACGGGGATCCAGCCCTGCTTGTTGTGCCTCCATCCCTCCTTGTTGTGCCTCCATCCCTCCTTGTTGTGCCTCCATCCTTCCTTGTTGTGCCTCCATCCTTCCTTGTTGTGCCTCCATCCCTCCTTGTTGTGCCTCCATCCTTCCTTGTTGTGTCTCCATCCTTCCTTGTTGTGCCTCCATCCCTCCTTGTTGTGCCTCCATCCCTCCTTGTTGTGCCTCCATCCTTCCTTGTTGTGCCTCCATCCTTCCTTGTTGTGCCTCCATCCTTCCTTGTTGTGTCTCCATCCTTCCTTGTTGTGCCTCCATCCTTCCTTGTTGTGCCTCCATCCCTCCTTGTTGTGCCTCCATCCTTCCTTGTGCCTCCATCCCTCCTTGTTGTGCCTCCATCCTTCCTTGTTGTGCCTCCATCCTTCCTTGTTGTGCCTCCATCCCTCCTTGTTGTGCCTCCATCCTTCCTTTTTTTGCCTCCATCCTTCCTTGTTGTGCCTCCATCCCTCCTTGTTGTGCCTCCATCCCTCCTTGTTGTGCCTCCATCCTTCCTTGTTGTGCCTCCATCCTTCCTTGTTGTGCCTCCATCCCTCCTTGTTGTGCCTCCATCCCTCCTTGTTGTGCCTCCATCCTTCCTTGTTGTGCCTCCATCCTTCCTTGTTGTGCCTCCATCCTTCCTTGTCGTGCCTCCATCCTTCCTTGTTGTGCCTCCATCCCTCCTTGTTGTGCCTCCATCCTTCCTTGTTGTGCCTCCATCCCTCCTTGTTGTGCCTCCATCCTTCCTTGTTGTGCCTCCATCCCTCCTTGTTGTGCCTCCATCCCTCCTTGTTGTGCCTCCATCCCTCCTTGTTGTGCCTCCATCCTTCCTTGTTGTGCCTCCATCCTTCCTTGTTGTGCCTCCATCCTTCCTTGTTGTGCCTCCATCCCTCCTTGTTGTGCCTCCATCCCTCCCACGTGGGATGGGGATCCATCTTTCCTTGTTGTGTCTCCATCCCTCCCACCTGGGATGAGGATCCAGCCCAGCTTGTTGTGCCTCCATCCTTCCTTGTTGTGTCTCCATCCCTCCCACCAGGGATCAGGATCCATCCCTCCTTGTTGTGCCTCCATCCTTCCTTGTTGTGCCTCCATCCTTCCCACTTGGGATGGGGATCCATCCTTCCTTGTGCCTCCATCCCTTCCTTGGCCTGTGGGTGCCTCCCGTTGAGCACAGAGGTTGGCTGGCCGCGCAGCCGCCCTCGGTTCAGTCCTGCTTTTCCTCCCCAGGAAGAAGAGCTGTTCCCCTTCAACCTGGACGAGTTCGTTACGGTGGACGAGGTGATCGAGGAGAGCGAATCCCCGGTGAAAACGCAGCGCGCTCAGCCCAAGGGGAAGAGGAAGGAATGCTGCAGGAGCAACTGGGAGCCCAGCTCCAAGAGGAGGAAGGACAGGAGCTCCCCGCAGCGCCTGGCCGAGAGCCGGCTGTCCTTCGTCATGTTGGACGAGATCGGCGAGGAGGAGGAGGAGGAGGCCGGCGCGCAGCTGGGGATGCTGGTGGTGGACGAGGTGCTGGAGGAGGACGAGGCGGCGGGGGAGGCGGGCGGCGAGCAGCGGGCGCCCCTGGCTTTGGACGAGCCGGAGGGGGGCGGCGCGGCGAGGGACGGCGGCGCTCCGGAGGGACGGCGATCGAAAGCGGAGCCTTTGGTGACCGTGGATGAAATCGGGGAGGTGGAGGAGCTGCCGCTGAACGAAGCCGCGGAGCTGAGCGCCAAGGAGGAGGAGAAGGGCGGCGCCGAGGATCCCTGCCAGGTGCCCGACGATCCCAGCGCCTTGGTGACGGTGGATGAGATCCGCGAGGAGGACGGCGGCGCGGCGTGGGATGAGGCCAACGAGGACGAGGACGATTTCCTGGCTGATTTCAACCGGCTGAAGGAGGAGCTGAACTTTGTGACGGTGGACGAGGTTGGGGAGGAGGATGAGGAGGAGGAGGAGGAAGAAAGCGCTTTGCCGGGGAAAGAGCCGAAGGGAGGTGAAGACGAGGAGGAAATTGCTGCTGCTGCGGGACCAGAGGAAGAAACGGCCGCCAGTGCAGGACCAGAAGAGGAGGACATCGTTGCTGTTGCAGGGCCGGAAGAGATGGAAGTTCTGGGCGCTGCTCATCCAGAGGAAGAAGAAGAAAATGCGGCCTCCAAACCAAAAGGTGAGGAGCTGCTGGCAGATGGGGAGCAGGAATGGGGTGCGTGGCAGGGCTGCGTGGGGAAGGGGCGAAGGGAGACGTGTGGGGGTGAGAGGAGAGCTGCAGAGTGGGTCTGTGTGCAGAATGGAGCCGGGAAAGGGTGAAGGGAGGCGTAAGGGAGCCAGGAGAGCTCCGGATAACCCAGGGAGCTGCAGGCTGTGACATCCGAGCCCAGCTGGCAGGCAGGGCTGAAGGGTGGCTGTGCTGGGAGCAGAGCGGGGCTGGAGCACCTCTGCTGTGGGGACAGGGAGGGAGCTGGGGCTGTGCGGCATGGAGAAGGCTCAGAGGAGGCCGTATTGTGACCTTCCAGGACCTGAAGGGGCCCTATGGGAGAGCTGGAGGGGGACTTCATAAGGGCAGGGAGTGAGAGGATGAGGGCAAATGGCTTGAAAATTAAAGGGGGTGGATTTAGGTGATAGGAGGGCGTTCTTTGTGAGGAGCGGGTTGCCCAAGGAGGCTGTGGATGCCCCAGCCCTGCAGGCATCCGAGGCCAGGCTGGATGTGGCTCTGGGCAGCCTGGGCTGCTGGTTGGTGCCCTGCACACAGCAGGGCTTGGAGCTGGATGAGCGCTGTGCTCCTGTGCAACCCAGGCCATTCTAGGACTCTGTGTGGGGCACTGAACAGGTCCCCCATTGAGGCTGTGGGTGCCCACAAGTGCTGTTTCGTGCATCCCAAAGGCCGGGACGGCCCTCAGCTCACTGCCATCCTTCTCAGGTCTGGATTACCTCCTCCCCAAGGCCGGCTTCTTCTGCCAAATCTGCTCCCTGTTCTACTCGGATGAGACCTCAGTGAAGAATCACTGCCGCACGGCGCTGCACCAGCAGAACGCAGAGGTGGGCTGTGGGCTGGGGGGGCTGCATGGATCTGGAGGGGCTGCATGGATTTGGGGGGCTGCATGGATCTGAGGGGGGGGCTGCAGGGATCTGGAGGGGCTGCAGGGATTTGGGGGGGCTGCAGGGATTTGGGGGGGCTGCATGGATCTGGGGGCTGCAGGGATCTGGAGGGGCTGCATGGATCTGGGGGGCTGCACGGATCTGGGGGCTGCACAGATCTGGGGGGCTGCAGGGATCAGGGGGGCTACAGGGATGTGGAGGGGCTGCATGGATCTGGGGGGCTGCACAGATCTGGGGGGCTGCACAGATCTGGGGGCTGCACAGATCTGGGGGCTGCACGGATCTGGGGGCTGCACGGATCTGGGGGGCTGCATGGATCTGGGGGGGCTGCACGGATCTGGGGGGGCTGCAGGGATCTGGGGGGGCTGCATGGATCTGGGGGGGCTGCACGGATCTGGGGGGGCTGCAGGGATCTGGGGGGGCTGCAGGGATCTGGGGGGGCTGCACGGATCTGGGGGGCTGCATGGATCTGGAGGGGCTGCACGGATCTGGGGGGGTTTGCATGGATGTGGGGGGCCGCCTGCTCACTGCGCCCTTCTTCCTGCAGAAGTTCATGGCCACAAAGAAGGAGGAGGGGAGCAGCGGGGCTGAGCAGAGCCCGAGGTGACGGGAGGAGAGGAGAGGAGCCTCCATCCTTCCATCCTTCCATCCTTCCGTGCCATCCAGCGTGGCGCCCGGCTGCGATCCGTTGGTGTTGTACAGAGCCAGACTGAGACACCCGTTGTGGGGGGGGGGTGGGGGGGGGGGTAGGGGGCTTTGGTTTGTGTCCCAAAGCATCGGGGTGCTGGGGGGCTGCTTCCCCCCCCTCCCCTCCGCTCACCTGCCATAAACACCCTCCTTGTACAGCCCCCAGGGCTTCGTGTGTGCTGTGCCTCCCCCTGCCCCCCAACCTGGGGTCCTGGTGTTGGTTGGGTGCCCTCTACGCATCACCCGGGGGGAGGGGGGGGGTCTCTGGCTTCTCTTGGGACCCCCACCCAGGGGAGGGAGGGGATCCCTTATGCCCTGCCTGTTGAGAGGTGGGGGGGGGAGGGGTCTCTGGTTTCTCTTGGGACCCCCGCCTCCTGGAGCACCCCGTCGCCTCTGGGGGGCCCTGCAGTGCTCTGGGTGATCCATGGTATCGTGGCCGAGTTTGCGATGCTGTGCTGTGGGTCTTCAGCTCACCTTGGATGGGGAGGGGGGGGGGGGGGGGTCCCTTCTGCCTGCCTCCCCCAGCTGCTGGGGGGGCTCTGGTTCCCTTCAGGCCCCCCATCCCTTGGAGCATCATGGAGCATCCCATCACCCTGGGGGGTGGAAGCCGATGCTCCGGGGCCGTGCAGCCATCGGCGGCCTTGTGGCCGTTTGCTGCGGGGCTTCGGCTCGTCATGGAGCTGCCACCAGCCGTGGGGCCGGCCGAGATCCACCGGGGCACCCAGGGAGCTGCCAGAGCCCACAGCTCAGCCCTTGGCCTCGGCGCCGACTGGTGAGGTGCCGGCAGGCCGGAGGTTCGCTCCCACCTACGGGAAGGGTTGTGAGGGGGAGCTGGGGAGCTGCGGGCCCTTCAGCCTGAGCTCGGCGCAGGGAAGGCGAGCGGGGGGTGAAGGCCAGCCTTGGTGGGTTCACCAAGGGCAGCGGCTGCTCCACCGACCTCTGGTCAGAGGGGAAAGGCTGCTGACGTCGGCCTGCACTTGGGCAAGGACTTGGACTGGCGCTGCGCTGTGCTGCAGGAGCCGGCAGCCCTTGGCCGGGTGAAATCCTGGCTGCACGAGGAGCTGATGTGGGGCCGGAGGGCAGAGCTGAACGGAGCCCCGGGGGTCGGTGCTGAGCCAGGCCTCATCTGCACTGCGTGCAGCTCTGGGCTGCAGAGCACAAAAAGGACGGGGAGCTGTTGGGAAGAGTCCAGCGCAGGGCAGCAAGATGGAGAGCGGCCTGGAGCATCTCTGCTATGGAGAAAGGCTGAGCTGCGTCTGTTCAGCATGGAGGGAAGGAGGCTGAGAGGGGAGCTGAGGCAGGGCTGTGAATATCTGAGGTGTGGGGGCAGCACGGCGAGGCCGGACTCTGTTCAGTGGGGAGTGGAGACAGGAGGAGGGGAAACGGCCGGGAACTGAGCATAGGAAGTTGTGCAGCACTGTGCGAAGGAACGGCTGTGCAGTGAGGGGAGGAGCGATGGAACAGGGAGGGGGAGTCTGTGGGTCCCAGTGGGTCTCTATGGGTCCCAACAGGTCTCTATGGGTCCCAATGTGTCTCTATGGGTCCCAATGTGTCCCTATGGGTCCCAACGTGTCTCTATGGCTCCCAGCATGTCTCTATAGGTCCCAATGTGTCTCTGTGGGTCCCAACATGTCTCTATGGGTCCCAATGTGTCCCTATGGTCCCAACGTGTCTCCATGGGTCCCAATGTGTCCCTATGGGTCCCAATGTGTCCCTATGGGTCCCAACGTGTCTCTATGGCTCCCAGCATGTGTCTATAGGTCCCAATGTGTCTCTGTGGGTCCCAACATGTCTCTATGGGTCCCAATGTGTCCCTATGGTCCCAACGTGTCTCCATGGGTCCCAATGTGTCTCCATGGGTCCCAATGTGTCCCTATGGGTCCCAATGTGTCCCTATGGGTCCCAACGTGTCTCTATGGCTCCCAGCATGTCTCTATAGGTCCCAATGTGTCTCTGTGGGTCCCAACATGTCTCTATGGGTCCCAATGTGTCCCTATGGTCCCAACGTGTCTCCATGGGTCCCAATGTGTCCCTATGGGTCCCAACGTGTCTCTATGGGTCCCAACGTGTCTCTATGGCTCCCAGCGTGTCTCTATAGGTCTCAATGTGTCTCTATGGGTCCCAATGTGTCACTATGGGTCCCAACGTGTGTCTGTGGGTCCCATTGTGTCTCCATGGGTCCCATTGTGTCTCCATGGGTCCCAACGTGTCTCTATGGCTCCCAGCGTGTCTCTATAGGTCCCAATGTGTCTCTATGGGTCCCAACGTGTCTCTATGGCTCCCAGCGTGTCTCTATAGGTCCCAATGTGTCTCTATGGGTCCCAACGTGTCTCTATGGCTCCCAGCGTGTCTCTATAGGTCTCAATGTGTCTCTATGGGTCCCAATGTGTCTCTATGGGTCCCAACGTGTCTCTATAGGTCTCAATGTGTCTCTGTGGGTCCCAATGTGTCTCTATGGGTCCCAACGTGTCTCTATAGGTCTCAATGTGTCTCTATGGGTCCCAACGTGTCTCTGTGGGTCCCAACGTGTCTCCATGGGTTGGCTGCGAGTGTGGAGCTGCCTGGGGGCTGCAAGGCCCTGCAGGGGGATCTGGGCCGGCTATGGAATGCTGGGCTGAAGGCAGTGGGATGAGTTACAACAAGGCCATAGGTCGGGTCCTGCGCTTTGGCCACCACAAACCCAGGTCGGCATCCAGGCAGGTCTGGAAACATCTCCAGAGCAGGAGACTCCACCACCTCCATGGGCAGCCGGGGAGCATCAGTGGGGCATCAGTGGGGCATCAGTGGGGCATCAGTGGGGCATCAGTGGGGCATGGAGGACCTTGAGTGTGGAGGAGGCTCAGTGCAGACCTCATTGCTGAGGGGAGTGGGGGCACCATGGGGACACAGCGGGACATCGGTGGGACACTGGGACATCGAGGGGACACTGGGACATCGATGGGGCATGGGGATCCCAGTGGGGCATCAGTGGGGTCTGAAGGACCTTGAGTGTGGAGGAGAGGAGGTTCAGGGCAGACCTGGTTGCTGAAGGGAGTGGGGACACCATGGGGATACAATGGGGCGTGGAGAACCCCAATGGGATACTGGGACATCGGTGGGTCATCAGTGGGGCATGGGGACCCCAGTGGGACTATGGGGCATCAATGGGGCATCAGTGGGGCATGGAGGGCCTTGATTGTGGAGAAGAGGAGGCTCAGGGCAGACCTCATTGCTGAGGGGAGTGGGGACACCATGGGGACACAGCGGGACATCGGTGGGACACTGGGACACCCATGGGGCATGGGGACCTCAATGGAGCTGTAGGACATCAATGGGGCATGGGAACCCCAATGGGGCTGTGGGGCGTCAATGGGGCATCAGTGGGGCATGGGGACCCCGATGGGCCATGGAAGACCTTGAGTGTAGAGAAGAGAAAGCTCAGTGCAGACCTCATTGCTGAGGGGAGTGGGGACACCATGGGGACACAGAGGGACATGGAGAACCCCGATGGGACACTGGGACATCGATGGGGCATGGGAACCCCAATGGGGCTGTGGGGCGTCAATGGGGCATCAGTGGGGCATGGGGACCCCAATGGGCCATGGAGGACCTTGGCAAAACCTATCGGCGTGCAGGGGTCTGAGTTGGGGGGGGGGGGCTTAATAGGGGAAATATGGGGGGGGGGGGTCTATAGGGGGTCCTATTCTGAGGGGAGGGTTCAATAGGGGGGGGGGGGGGGTCCTAGGAGTCCCATTTGCGGGGGGGGGGTCCTGTATGGGATCTCATGAGTCCTATTTGGGGGAGAGGGGGGGAAGTTGTATGGGGTGGGGTCCCATTCTGGGGGATGGGATTCAGTAGGGGAGTGGTGCAAGGAGCCCCATTTGGGGGGGGGTCCTATTGGGGGGGGTCCTATTGGGGGGGGGTTCTGTATGGGAGGCTTCCAAGGAGGCTCGTTTTGGGGTGCATGGGGGTGTCTGTATGATTGGGGGGGGGGCTCCAGGAGTCCCATTTCGGGGGGGGGATGGGCGGTTATATGGGGTGGGGTCCTATTCTGGGAGGGGGGGGGGGCGTTCAGTATTGGGGGGGGTCCCAGGAGCCCCATTTAGGAGGGTCTGTGTGGGGGTCCCAATGCAGGGCTCTGTCTGGGGGTCCTGGGGAAGGGGGGGCGAGGGGGGGTCTGAGTTGGGGGGGGGCTTAATAGGGGAAATATGGGGGGGGGTTATGCAGGGTGCTGGCTTCATATGGAGTTCCTGTTATGGGGGGGGAGATGCGGGGGGGGTCCCAGTGTGCGGAATCCCATCTGTATGCATTGATCCTAGGCTGGGGGGTCCCGGAGAATTCCACCCCCCCTTCAGGGGTCTCCGGCCCCCCCCACGGCCGCTCTGTGCTGTAAGGCCCCCCCAATCCTCCCCCCCCCCGTCAGTGCAGGAGGGGCCGTCGGTGCTGACGCTGCTGTTGGTTGGGGGGGGGGGCGTGAGGGGGGATGGGGGGTCTGACCTCACTGCATCATTCTGCCCTGCCTTCCCTTCGGGCTGCTCTTCCAGGGCACGGAGGGAGTGGGCAGCCCCTGGGGGGGGGGGAAAGGGGGGGGATTAAATGAGGAGGGGGGCGAAAGGGAGGACTTCGCTGCTGGGGAAACTGAGGCGGTGGCAGCAGGGCCAAGCGTGGTGCGTTCCCCTTTAAGAGAGGCCGAGGGGGGGGTTGGGGGTTTGGAGGAGGAGTGGGGGGGGGGGGAGGGGGGCTGTGCCGCAGTGCGGGGGGGTCGGAGGGGGGGCGGGGGGGGGGGCGGTGCGGGGCGATGCTGCGGGTCTTCGTGCTGCACGCGGAGGAGCTCCGCACGCCGGACGCCGACATCAGCGATGCGTATTGCGGGGTCGTGTTCAGAGGTGCGGGGTTTGGAGGGGGGGGGGGGGGGGGGGGTTGTGTTGGGGGTCTCGGAGGCTGCGGCCCCCCCCCGGAGGTTTTGTGCTGGGGGCGGGGCTGTGGGGCCCAACGGAGGGGCGCTGGGGGGGGGGAGGGGTGGGAGTGAGCTGAGGTCTGGTTGCTGTATGGGGGTCTCGGTTTGGTGGGGGGGGGTCCGTTACGTGGGGGGGGGGGGGGGGCCTGGAGACCCATTTTGGGGGCTTTATATTGGGTCGGGTCCCATTATGGGGGGGGGGGAAGTCAGTATGACAGGGTCCCAGGAGTCCCATTTGGGTGGGGGGGTCTGTATAGGGAGTCCTGTTCTGGGGGGGAGGTCAGTATGGGAGGGGTCCCAGGAGACCCGTTTTGGGGGGGGGGGTGGGAGTCTGTATAGAGGAGGGTCCCATCTGTGGGGGTCCTGTATGGGAAGGGTCCCATTTGGGGGGGTTCAGTAGGGGGGAGATCTGAGGAATCCCAATTGGGGGGGGGGGGGTGTCTGTATGGGGGGGGGGTCCCAGGAGACCCATTTTTTGGGGGGGGGGTGGGAGTCTGTATAGAGGAGGGTCCCATTTGGGGGGGTTCAGTATGGGAGGGGTCCCATTTGGGGGGGGGGTCTGTATGGGAGAGACCTCAGGAGTCCCAAAGGGGGGGGGTCTGTATGGGGGGGGGGTCCTATTCTGGGGGGGGGGTCATTATGGGAGGGGTCCTAGGAGACCCATTTTTGGGGGGGGGGGTCTGTATGGGGGGGTCCTGTTCTGCAGGGGTTTCAGGATGGGAGGGATCTCGGGGGTCCCATTTTGGGGGGGGGGGTTGTATAGGGGTCCTATTTTGGGGGGGGTCAGTATGGGAGACCCATTTTGAGGGGGGGGGAGTCTGTATAGAGGGGGGGTCCCATTCGAGGGGGTTCAGTAGGGGGGAGATCTGAGGAGTCTCAGTTGGGGGGGGTCTGTATGGGGGGGGGTCCTATTGTGGGAGGAGGGTTCAGTATGGGAGGGGTCCCAGGAGACCCATTTTGGGGGGGGGTGAGGGGGGGGGTTATATGGGGTGGAGCCCCATTTTAGGGGGGGTCCTATTCTAGGATAGGGGTTCAGTATGGGAGGGGTCCCAGGAGACCCATTTTGAGGGGGGGGGGGGAGTCTGTGTAGAGGGGGGGTCCCATTTGGGGGGGTTCAGTAGGGGGAGATCTGAGGAGTCCCAATTGGGGGGGGGGTCTGTATGGGGGGGGTCCTATTGTGGGAGGAGGGTTCAGTATGGGAGGGATCTCGGGGGTCCCATTTTGGAGGGGGGGGGGGTTGTATTGAGGGTCCTATTCTGGGGGGGGGTCGGTATGGGAGGGGTCCTAGGAGTCCCATTTTGGGGGGGGGGTTATATGGGGTGGAGCCCCTATATTTGGGGGGGAGTCTGTATAGAGGTGGGGGTCCCATTTGGGGGGGTTCAGTAGGGGGGAGATCTGAGGAATCCCAATTGGGGGGGGGGTCCTGTATGGGGGGGTCCTATTGTGGGAGGAGGGTTCAGTATGGGAGGGGTCCTAGGAGTCCCATTTTGGGGGGGGTTGTATAGGGGTTCCTATTTTGGGGGGGGGTCGGTATGGGAGGGGTCCTAGGAGACCCATTTTGGGGGGGGGGGGTGTCTGTATAGAGGGGGGGTCCCATTTGGGGGGGGGGGTTCCTCTATGGGATCTCATGAGTCCTATTTGGGGGAGAGGGGGGGGAAGTTGTATGGGGTGGGGTCCCATTCTGGGGGGGGGTTCAGTAGGGGAGTGGTGCAAGGAGCCCCATTTGGGGGGGGGTCCTATTGGGGGGGGTCCTATTGGGGGGGGTTCTGTATGGGAGGCTTCCAAGGAGGCTCGTTTTGGGGGGCATGGGGGGTGTCTGTATGATTGGGGGGGGGCTCCAGGAGTCCCATTTCGGGGGGGGGGTGGGCGGTTTTATGGGGTGGGGTCCTATTCTGGGAGGGGGGGGGGCGTTCAGTATTGGGTGGGGGTCCCAGGAGCCCCATTTAGGAGGGTCTGTGTGGGGGTCCCAATGCAGGGCTCTGTCTGGGGGTCCCGGGGAAGGGGGGGGGAGGGGAGTCTGAGTTGGGGGGGGGCTTAATAGGGGAAATATTGGGGGGGGGGTTATGCAGGGTGCTGGCTTCATATGGAGTCCCTGTTATGGGGGGGGGGTGCGGGGGGGTCCCAGTGTGCGGAATCCCATCTGTATGCATTGATCCTAGGCTGGGGGGTCCAGGAGAATTTCACCCCCCCCCCTTCAGGGGTCTCCGGCCCCCCCCACGGCCGCTCTGTGCTGTAAGGCCCCCCCAATCCCCCCCCCCCCTCAGTGCAGGAGGGGCCGTCGGTGCTGACGCTGCTGTGGGTGGCTGGGGGGGGGGGGGGGGGGGCATAGCTGAGCGGTGACAGCAGTGGCGCAGCCGCCGCTATTTCTGGTCCCGCGAGAGCAGCTGCGGGGGGGGGGGGGCGGTGATGAATGACCCCCCCGGGATGAACCGAGGGGGGGGGGGGGAAGAGGGGGGGGAGGGGTCCGCTAAAGGGGAGACGGGCAGTGAATTGGGGGGGGGGGCGGAGGGGGTGGGATGGTGGTTGGGGGGGGGGGCAGTGCGGGGTGATTTTTCCCCCCCCCCCCGGCCATCATGGCACTGAACCGCACGGGGGGGGGGGGGGAGGTGGGAGAGGAGGGAGGAGCACCTACAGGTAGTCGACATCACGACCCCGTGCGTGACGTCACGGGCCCGTAGTGACGTCACGACCTTAGGATGCTGCCCCCCTCCCTTCCCACCCCCCCCCCCCTCCCTTCCCACCCCCCCCCCCTCCCATCATGGCACTGAACCCCACGGGGGAGGGGGGGGGGGGGGGTGGGAAAGGGGGGGGGGTGAGAGAGGAGGGGGGTGGGTGGGAGGGGAGGTGGGGGCACATCCAGGTAGTCGACGTCACGACCCCGTAGTGACGTCACACCCTAAGGTTGCTGCCCCCCCCCTCATGCAACGCCCCCCCCCCCACATCCGCGCCGCCGCTCGTCCCAACACCCCACACCCCCCCTCCGTCGCTGTGGCCACGCCCCTCCCGCTGTGGCCACGCCCCTCCTCCTCCGTGGCCACGCCCCCCCTCTCACCTCCCCCCCCCCCTCCCCCCCCATCCATCGCTGCCCGTTGCGGCGCTGCCCCGCTCTCCGGCCATGCTGCGCTGCGTCCTGCAGCGAGCCCAGCTGCGCCGCCCCGAGAAGGGGGACAGGCAGAGCGACCCCGTGGCCAGCCTGACCTTCCGAGGTGAGCCCCACAGCTTTGGGGTCGCCGGGGGGGGGGGGTTGGACTCCCCAAATCCGCGTGGAGCCGCGCCGCTCTGCGCCCCCCCCGCCCCTTTCTGCCTATCGGAGTCCCCCCTCCCCACATGACGGGAGGCGGAGGTGGGCGCCGGGCGCCGCTCCTGGGTTTGGGGTTCGCGGGAGACGCCGTTGACTTTTAGGGTTGGTTGGCGGGGGGGACGGAGTCGGGGATGGAGCCCAAACGGGTGATGGCAGCTGCGCCTTTGGGTGCTCCGAGGGGGGTCCTGGGGGGGGACCCCGAGTTTTGTGGGTGAGAAGCGCCTGAGAGCCGGGAGCGGCGATCCTGCGGGGGTCCGACCCAGCGCTGTGGGGTTCGAGGGGCTGCGCGGCCTTTGGGATGGGGGTCCGGTTCCCCTCAATGTTGGGGAGAAGCCCCCAGGTTGGTGCCTGAGGACCCCCAGTGGTTGTGAATGGGAACCCCGAGATCTGAGCCCTCAGGGTTTGTGAATGAAGACCCTATGGGGCTCCATCCCTTTGCTGGGGGCTCTGGGGGTTTCTTCATCCTTTGGGATGGGGGTTCCGTTCCCCTAAATGATGGGGAACCCCTGAGGTTGGTGCCTGAGGACCCCCAAGAGTTGTGAATGGGATCCCTTGGGATTTATGAAGGGGAACCCCAAGATCTGAGCATGGGGAGCCCTCAAGTTGTGAATGAAGACCCTATGGGGGTCCGTCCCATTGCTTTGGGATTTGAGGGGCTGCCCATCTTTTAGGACGGGGGTTCCTTTCCCCTAAATGCTGGGGAGCCCCCCCAGGTTGGTGCCTGAGGACCCCCCAGTGGTTGTGAATGGGAACCCTGAGATCTGAGCCCTCAGGGTTTGTGAATGAAGACCCTACAGGGCTCCATCCCATCGCTGGGGGCTCTGGGGGTTTCTTCATCCTTTGGGATGGGGGTTCCGTTCCCCTAAATGATGGGGAGCCCCCCCAGATTGGTGCCTGAGGACCCCCAAGAGTTGTGAATGGGATCCCTTGGGATTTATGAAGGGGAACCCCAGGATCTGAGCATGGGGAGCCCGCAGGGTTTGTGGCTGAGGACCCTATAGGGGTCCGTCCCATTGCTTTGGGGTTTGAGGGGCTGCCCATCTTTTAGGACGGGGGTTCCGTTCCCCTAAATGTTGGGGAGCCCCCCCAGGTTGGTGCCTGAGGACCCCCCAGTGGTTGTGAATGGGAACCCTGAGATCTGAGCCCTCAGGGTTTGTGAATGAAGACCCTATGGGGCTCCGTCCCATCGCTGTGGGGTTTGAGGGGCTGCCCATCCTTTGGGATGGGGGTTCCTTTCCCCTAAATGCTGGGGTACCCCTGAGATTGGTGCCTGAAGGCACCCCAAGAGTTGTGAATGGGATCCCTTGGGATTTATGAAGGATCTGAGCTTGGGAAGCCTTCAATTATGTGAATGCAGACCCTATAGGGGTGCATCCCATCACTATGGGATTTGAGGGGCCATTTTGTCCCCCCCCGATCCCTCACACCCGTCACCCCATAGCAGTGGGGCGACGTGGCTCCCAGCCGATGGGAAATGGCCGTTTGTAGGTAAAGGAACCCAAAGCGAAGGACAGGAAGGAGCCGAGGGGCGGCGCGGCCCTTCCTGCCGCGTCCCAAGGGGGGGTCGGGATGGCGATGGGGTCATTGGGGTCAATGGGGCCGTTGGCAGGCGGCCGCCCCGCTGCTATGGGGTGCGGTGCCGGATGGAGGCCGCCATGCTGGGAAATCCCAAAATAGGAAAAGCGGCGGCCCCAAAGCTGGGCTGGGTTTGGGGTCAAGGTTTGGGGTCGGTGTTATTGAGTGCTGTGCTGGGGGGGGGGGGGGAGCTCTGCCCCATAGGCGGCAGTGGGGCGGCCCCAAAGGAGCGCTGTGGGGTCTGTGGGGAAACTGAGGGGCAGAGTGGGGGATCTGTGGGGGAACTGGGGCACAGAATATAGGATCTGTGGGGAAAATGAGGCCCAGCCTATGGGATCTATGGGGGAATTGAGGCACAGCCTATGGGATTTATGGGGGAATTGAGGCCCAGCCTATGGGATCTATAGGGAAACTGAGGCACAGAATATAGGATCTGTGGGGAAACTGAGGCCCAGCCTATGAGATCTATGGGGGAATTGAGGCACAACGTGGGATTATGGGGGAATTGAGGCCCAGCCTATGGGATCTGTGGGGAAATTGAGGCCCAGCCTATGGGATCTATGGGGGAATTGAGGCCCAGCCTATGGGATCTATGGGGGAATTGAGGCCCAGCCTATGGGATCTATGGGGGAATTGAGGCCCAGCCTATGGGATCTATGGGGAAACTGAGGCCCAGCCTATGGGATCTGTGGGGGAAATGAGGCACAGCATATGCGATCTGTGGGGAAACTGAGGCATAGGGTATTGGGTCTATGGCATGGTGTATAGGGTCTTTGAGGAACTGATGCCTTGGGTATAGGATCTATAGGGATCTGAGGCACAGAATATGGGGTCAGTGGGGAAACTGGGGCACAGCTTATGGGATCTATGGGGAAATTGGGGGGCTGTAGGATCAGTGGGGAGCTGAGGCACAGGATATGGGATCTATGGCGTTGGGTATAGGATCTATGGGGGACTGTGGCACAGCATATGGGGTCAATTGGGAAACTGGGGCACAGCATATGGGTTCTATGGGGAAATTGGGGGGCTGTAGGATCAGTGGGGAGCTGAGGCATAGGATATGGGATCTATGGGGAAACTGAAGCCCAGCTTATGGGATCTGTGAGGGAATTGAGACCCAGCCTATGGGATCTGTGGGGAAACTGAGGCACAGAGTGTGGGGTCAGTGTGGGAACTGAGGCATAGGATATGGGATCGATGACATTGTGTATAGGGTCTGTGAGGAACTGATGCCTTGGGTATAGGATCTATAGGGATCTGAGGCACAGAATATGGGGTCAGTGGGGAAACTGAGGCCCAGCCTATGGGGGGAGTGAGGCACAGGGTGTGGGATTTGTGGGGGATCTGAGGCACAGAATATGGGGTCAGTGGGGAAACTGGGGCACAGCTTATGGGATCTATGGGGAAATTGAGGCACTGTAGGATCAGTGGGGAGCTGAGGCACAGCATATGGGATCTATGGCGTTGGGTATAGGATCTATGGGGACTGAGGCATAAGATATGGGTTCTGTGGGGAACTGAAGCACAGGGTTTGGGATCTGTGGGGAAACAGGTTCAGTGTATGGGGTCAGTTGGGAGACGGGCACGGTGTGTAGGATTATGGGGAATCTGAGGCTCAGCCTATGAGATCTATGGGGGAATTGAGGCCCAGCCTGTGGGATCTGTGGGGAAACTGAGGCCCAGCCTATGGGATCTATGGGGAAACTGAGGCATAGGGTATTGGGTCTATGGCATGGTGTATAGGGTCTGTGAGGAACTGATGCCTTGTGTATAGGATCTATAGGGATCTGAGGCACAGAATATGGGGTCAGTGGGGAAACTGGGGCACAGCTTATGGGATCTATGGGGAAATTGGGGGGCTGTAGGATCAGTGGGGAGCTGAGGCACAGCATATGGGATCTGTGGGGAAATTGGGGGGCTGTAGGATCAGTGGGGAGCTGAGGCATAGGATATGGGATCTATGGGGAAACTGAAGCCCAGCTTATGGGATCTGTGAGGGAATTGAGACCCAGCCTATGGGATCTGTGGGGAAACTGAGGCACAGAGTGTGGGGTCAGTGTGGGAACTGAGGCATAGGATATGGGATCGATGACATTGTGTATAGGGTCTGTGAGGAACTGATGCCTTGGGTATAGGAACTATAGGGATCTGAGGCACAGAATATGGGGTCAGTGGTGAAACTGGGGCACAGCATATGGGATCTATGGGGAAATTGGGGGGCTGTAGGATCAGTGGGGAGCTGAGGCACAGGATATGGGATCTATGGCGTTGGGTATAGGATCTATGGGGACTGAGGCACAGCATATGGGGTCAGTGGGGAAATTGGGGCGCTGTAGGATCAGTGGGGAGCTGAGGCACAGCATATGGGATCTATGGGGGAAATGAGACACAGCATATGGGCTCAGTGGGGAAACAGGCACCGGATATGGGATCAATGGGGAAACCGAGGCGCAGGAAGTGAGAAACCCCATTGTTTGTCCCACTGGTGCATGGGGTGGGAGCTGAGTTTTAGGGCCGTTGCCACGCACCCCCCGTTTGTTGTAGGGGTGAAGAAGAAGACGAAGGTCATCAAGAACAGCATCAACCCCGTATGGAACGAGGTGAGCGCCACCCTTTCCTCCCCGACCCTATAAGGGATCCTATGAAAAACCCTATTGCAACCGGGGCTCTTCTCTCTTTGTAGGGTTTCGAATGGGATCTGAAGGGCGTCGCTTTGGACCTCGGCTCTGAGCTGTGCGTCGTTGTCAAGGACCATGAGACTGTGGGGAGGAATAGGTGGGGAGAAGGGGGGAAAGAAGGGGGGAAAGAAGGGGAAAAGGGGGAAAAGGGGGAGGCTTTGATCCCAATATTCCCCCCCATGGCTCCGATTTGCAAAGCCTGGGGCGTGCACTTTCGTGCACGCCCCAGGCTTTGCAAAACGGAGCCTGGGGGGAAGGTTGTTGAATTTAGGATCGACCCCCCCTTGGGGTCTCCCCCAACCCCCCACTGTAACCCTGCTGACCCTACAGGTTTTTGGGGGAAGCTCGGGTTCCCCTACGGGATGTGCTGTCCTCAGCCAGCCTGGCGGCGTCCTATGATGTGCCTTTGTTGGATAGCAAGAAGCAGAACACCGGGGTGAGGAAGGGTGTGGGGATGGAGGTGGGGTGGGGATTCGGTGGGGTGGGGATGTGGCAATGGGGTGGGGAGTCAATGGGGTGGGGGCACAGTGGGATGGGGAGTCAATGGGATGGGGAAATGGCAGTGGTATGGGGGCACAATGGGATGGGGAGTCAATGGGATGGGGAGTCAATGGGATGGGGGCACAATGGGATGGGGGCACAATGGGATGGGGGCTCAATGGGGTGGGGAGTCAATGGGATGTGGACAATGGGATGGGGACACAATGGGATGGGGAAACAGCAGTGGTATTGGGGCACAATGGGATGGGGGCACAATGGGATGGGGGCACAATGGGATGGGGGCACAATGGGATGGGGGCACAATGGGATGGGGACACAATGGGATGGGGAAATGGCAGTGGTATTGGGGCACAGTAGGATGGGGAGTCAATGGGGTGGGGGCACAATGGGGTGGGGGCACAATGGGGTGGGGGCACAATGGGGTGGGGGCACAATGGGATGGGGACACAATGGGATGGGGACACAATGGGATGGGGACACAATGGGATGGGGACACAATGGGATGGGGAAATGGCAGTGGTATGGGGGCACAATAGGATGGGGAGTCAATGGGATGGGGGCACAATGGGGTGGGGGCACAATGGGATGGGGACACAATGGGATGGGGGCTCAATGGGATGGGGACGTGGCAATGGGTTGGGGACACAGTGAGATGGGGAAATGGCAGTGGGGATGGGGACTTGATGGGATGGGGACAAGGCAGTAGGATGGGGACACAGCAATGGGGTGGAGACGTGGCGATGGAATGGGGACACTGTGGGATGGGGACGTGGCAATGGAAGGGGGACACAGTGGGGTGGGGAAGTGGCACTGAAATGGAGACATGGCAGTGGGATGGGGATGTGGCACAGGGATGGAGGCAATAGGATGGGGACGTGGCAATGAAATGGGGCCACAGTGGGGTGGGGGCACAGGGGGATGGGGGCATGGCACAGGGATGGAGGCAATAGGATGGGGACGTGGCAATGAAATGGGGACACAGTGGGGTGGGAACACAATGGGATGGGGATGTGGCAATGGAAGGGGGACACAGTGGGGTGGGGGCACAGTGGGATGGGGGCATGGCACAGGGATGGAGGCAATAGGATGGGGACGTGGCAATGAAATGGGGACACAGTGGGGTGGGGACACAATGGGATGGGGATGTGGCAATGGAAGGGGGACACAGTGGGGTGGGGGCACAGTGGGATGGGGGCATGGCACAGGGATGGAGGCAATAGGATGGGGACGTGGCAATGAAATGGGGACACAGTGGGGTGGGAACACAATGGGATGGGGATGTGGCGCTGAAATGGAGACATGGCAGTGGGATGGGGATGTGGCACAGGGATGGAGGCAATAGGATGGGGACGTGGCAATGGAAGGGGGACCCAGTGGGATGGGGACCCAGTGGGGTGGGGACACGGGGATGGGGACGTGGCAATGGAAGGGGGACACAGTGGGGTGGGGACACAATGGGATGGGGATGTGGCACAAGGATGGAGGCAATAGGATGGGGATGTGGCAATGGAAGGGGGACCCAGTGGGATGGGGACCCAGTGGGGTGGGGACACGGGGATG